AGTCCTCTGCAAGCCAAGACTTTCAGCTTAACCCTTGCTGAGAACCCCGCTGCGAGCCAAGGGTTGTCACTTTGCGATATCGCAAACCTTGTGGAGGCAAGGAAGGCAAGAACGCAACAATGAGTGAAGAAGGTAACGAAGGCACTGGTGTGTCGAGATCCGTAACGTTTCAGGTTACGACCAGGAAGAAGACTGGGAGTCATGAGCGTGAGTTCATTAAGATCAGTATTCCGCGTTTCAGTGGCGGTTCGGCGCAGGAATGGCTCCAGTGGATTCAACAGTTCGAGCATGTTAGTAAGATGAAGAAGTGGTCGTCGGAAGAGAAGGCACAGCACCTGTGTTTGGTGCTAGATGACGAGGCATTAGATGCGTGGGTTGACACGTCTGGATCCGAAGACATGGCGGACCAGGACACGTTTGATGACGCGTACCAGAAGTGGGGTCACATGTTCGTGCCGAGCATGTATCACGAGCGACTGGAGGAGGAGTTGTTTCTCTTTGCGAAGAGACGCCATGAGTCTGTGGCTGAGTGTCATCAGCGAATGCGACAGATCACTCGAATGCTGAAGAATTTACCCACAAACGCTCTGGTTGTCGACGAGCAGTCGATGATCCGGACGTTCAAGCGGGCTATGCCAAATGAGTGGAAGACAGCATACGAATTCAGCGGTATCCACCTCACCACCATGCCTAAAGCTGGTTAGTACTTTGAACGGCTTGAACAGTCTGAACGACGTCAGGGCAAGGAGCGTCATTCTGGAGGCTGGAAGCAGCACGGTAAGCAGAATGGTGGTAAGCCGCATGGCGGTTACAAAGGTAGCGGGAAGAACTTTGGGAAGAAGGATAAGAAGGAGTTCCACTCGTCAAAACAGTTTCAGTCACGGGAGAAGAGCAACGGTGACAAGTGGTGTAGTTTACACAAGACGAGCTCGCATTCTGATAGCGAGTGTTTTACGCAGAAGAAAAATACGTCAAACCACGGCGGTAATAAGTGGTCAGCAGCAAAGAAGATTGAGGAAGCGAAGATGACACTTGTGGAGGAGATGGATTCTGATTACTCGCTCAGTGACGAGAGTGAGTGTAAAGTCATCGGTAGTATACTGAAGGACAGAGAGCCGTCTAAGAAACCTCCTATGCGTCTCCGGTTCCGATTATGCAAGACAAGGCAGGAGCGCGTCGCACTCGTGGATACAGGATGCGGAACAAGCTTCATTAACGGGGAGTTACTGGCGGCAAATCGTGAGCTGGGCTTTGAGATGTCTCCGTCTGATCTGACATACGAACAGGTCGAGGGCTACGTAAAGGTGGCTGGATCGACACAAGTTCAATTTCGTTTGATGGATTTGAACTATGGGTCTCATATTACGCATAGATTTTCCGTCGTCAACGATGCCAAGGACGAGATGGTGATCGGGCGGGATCTATTAAGTGCGCTTGGGGTAATTGTTAATTTCCGCGATGGGATAGTGGAATGGAATGGCAACACGGTGGCAGTGAACACGGGAGACAAGTCCACAGCAAGTGATGAAAATGGAGGTCCGAACATACAGGAGGAAGTGAAGGAGATCAACGACACCTCTGTGGCGCCTGAAGCTATGGTCGGGACAGCAGAAATTGATCAGTCCACATACGAGCAAGTAATCAAGCTGCTTAAGCAATTCGAGCAATTGTACAATGGGCATTTAGGGCGGATGAAGTTTCCTGACTATATTCTCCCTATGGCAGAGCAGTATACACCAATACAGGCACGCCCATATTCAATTCCAAGGAGCGAAAAAAACGCAGCGAGAAAAGAATTGTATCGACTCATGCAGCTCGACGTGTTGGAGCAGATATTCGATAGCGAATGGGCTTCTCCGGCTTTCTTCTTAAAGAAACCAGATGGGCGTCTGCGATTATTGACCGACTTCCGAGCTTTGAACAAGTTTTTGAAGCGTAACCCCTACTACGTGCCGCTAATTCGGGAAGTCTTGATACGTCTGGGCGGAGCGAAGTTCTTCTCCTCTCTGGACGCTAATATGGGATACTATGCTAGGCAGTTGGCAGAAGAAAGCAGACCGTTTACGGCATTCTGTACACCGTACGGGAAATTCCAGTATAAGAGACTCCCAATGGGAATCTCAACGGCGCCAGATGAGTACCAGGCGTGCATGTCTAGAATTCTGGGCGATTTGGACTTTGTTGTCGTCTATTTAGACGACATACTCATCTTCTCTAAAACTGCAGAAGATCATTTGGAGCATTTACGGGTGGTGTGCTCGCGTCTACAGAAGTTCAACGTGACGCTTAATGGTAAAAAGTGTCGAATTTTCTGTGCAACTGTGGAGTACTTGGGATTTACGATCAATGCAGACGGGATTAAGCCTCAGGAAAAGAAGATCCGTGCCATTCTCCAGATTCAGCGGCCGAAGAACAAAAAGGAACTACGTCGGTTTATCGGTATGATAAACTACTACAGGGAGATGATACCAAGAAAGACGGCGATGCTGAAGCCACTAACACGATTGACGTCTCCAAAGACGGCGTTTCAGTGGACATCCAGCGAGAACAATGCTTTTGAGGAGATTAAGAAGGCGTTGGCCAAAGCAGTACTACTGACATTCCCCAATTTCTCGAAACCTTTCGAGATATATGCAGATGCAAGTGGAAAGCAGTTGGGTGGATTGATTGAACAACAAGGAAAATTAGTAGCAGCTTACTCTAGAAGTCTCACTACCGCGCAGCAAAACTATACGACGACTGAACTAGAGTTATTATCGGTGGTGGAGATCTTGAAAGAGTATAGAACAATGCTGCTTGGATTTCCTATTGTGGTCCGCACGGACCATAAAAATCTCATTTATCCAACCGAGAATTCATTGCGGGTCAAGCGATGGAAATTGCTACTATCTGAATATCATCTTACCTGCGAGCATATTCACGGAAAGGAAAATGTTGCTGCAGATGCATTTTCTCGACTGGCGTGCGACTCGGAGCAGAAGATGGGAGAGACTGAGCTGGAGGCGCTCTTGATTGATCCTGTTGAGTGTGTTCTGGAGGGCAGCTACATCAAACAATACCAAAATGAAGATTCTGCTATCCAAGACATACTCCAAGCCTGCATGAATGGTACAAACGACCCGGATTACAAGATACAAAATATCATGGGTGCACGTCTATTAACTTACCAGAAGCGTGTATTAATTCCCACCGAATTACGTCAAGAACTGGTCGATTGGTATCACACTCAATTAGTACACCCTGGTGCCAAGCGCCAGTATCACACGATGAAGTCATTCTTTTATTGGTCGGGAATGAAGCAAACAGTGGTGAGCTTTGCGAGGAGATGTCTTACATGCAAGAGAGCCAAACTCCACGGTGGACCTCAGGATTATGGCAAGTTACCACCACGAGAAATGCATACAGTCGATCCTTTCGACGTAGTGCATGTGGATACCATGGGGCCTTACGGTAGTGATCGCTACTATGCGCTTACAGTGATTGACGAAGCTACAAGATGGCTAGAAGTCTCCATTCAAGAAAATAATCGTGGTAAAACCACTGCAGAGAACTTTGACGTGACGTGGTTATGCCGATATCCAAGACCAAAAGAGGTTGTGTTTGATCAAGGCAACGAATTTAACACTACAGAGTTTCGAGAAATGCTTGCCAGCTACGCGGTCAAGCCAAAGCCAATCTCCACCAAGAACCCTCAGGCAAATGCCATTTGTGAGCGAGTCCATTTAGTCATTAACAATGGTATTCGATGCTACCCGGAAGCAGATTGGCGACAAGTGATTCAATATGCAGCATTTGCAGTACGTGCGAGTTATCACACGATTTTGGGTACAACACCAGCACATTTAGTCTTTGGGCAGGACCTGATAACGCGGCAGCTTCATGAAACGAATTGGAGCTATCTCACGAAGCGCAGATTTGAAGCAATACTGAGAGATAATGATCGTGAGAATGCTACGCGTTTGGAGCATTTCTATCATCCTGGAGATCAAGTCATGATGCGAGTTGCAGCTAAGGATCGAGGTAACAAGCATCGTCAGGTGGCCAAAGGGCCATATTCTATTGTCGAAGTGCATGCTAACGGCACCGTAACGCTGGACTACGGTGTGACGCAGCAACGCGTCAACATACGCCGTCTCTTTCCGTGTTAATCGACAACTGGCATGGGGGTGAATAACAAGACCGTCACCTACAGTAACGGTGATCGCTATGGAATGCCAGTTGACGCACACTACGTGAGACTCAGAATTCTATGTTTCCTTTCCCATATTGAAGTGCTGTAGTGGACAGCCACGCAGCAGATAAGTAGGAAAATACATTGTGCTTCTTCGTTTGTCAAAGCTAAGTCCTCTGCAAGCCAAGACTTTCAGCTTAACCCTTGCTGAGAACCCCGCTGCGAGCCAAGGGTTGTCAATATCCTTGGAGCTCTCCCAATAGGAGATCCTGGGATCTCGAAGCGGTCGCTGGGTGAGAACGACTGTCGGAGCTAATTTGGTTTCTGTTGCGCTCGCTCGCAAGCTTTATGAGCTTGATGTACTCACGCAACAAGCTCGTTTCGCTCTTGTAATGCACGCATACTTAGTTTGACACGTAGCTTCTTGGCTACGACTCGACACTTCCTTGCCCACTCATCACTTGATCGCGTTACACAAGCTTGCGCCAGTTGAGGGAGTTGCCGCTCTCCTGCTTGTTGAGTGTCCCGCTCGTCGCTCAGCTCGCATTCGAGCTTCTGCAGCGCGTGCTCTGCCTTCTGCTTGGCCGCACGCATCTCCTAAATCTCAGCGCTCGTCTCAAACTCTACATGACGCACCTGTAGCGCTGTGAGCTGCTCGCGTAGCTCCATCAGCTGCCCATCATGCTTTTTCACGCGCGCAGCATCCTTTGCACGCCACGCTTCGGCTTTAGCGAACCGGTCCTTCCAGTCGCACCGCTTCGTAGTCTTTCTGCGTCATTTGGCTCTCTAGTTCACGCATACGGAAGCTCAGTTTGTCACTATCTACGCGCTAATCGTGCTGTGCACTGAGCAGGTCATCTTTCAGTGCGGCGAGCTGTTTCTCGACTGTGTGTTTAGCTGTCATGAGTGCGTTTGTCTGTGCTTTGCGCTGCTGTTTGCGACGCACTAGCACGTCAACTTCCAGCTCCAATTGGTTCGTTCGGTCTGTCTGTGTCGACAGCTCTTGCTTGGCGATGCGTAGCTCCTTCTCGAGCGTCGGGACGCGCTATTAATAAGCCAGATTGACACTTCTTCGTCTGCTCGTCAAGTGTTGACTTTAGAATTCGATTTTCTAGTGCAAATATTTCCAGCTGGTCACAAATTAGAAGCGCGATTTCTTAATAACCGGTATAAGAAACAAATTTACTACGTGTATTACTTTAAGTACAGATCTATACTTCAACCCCAGCTAAGCGTAAACGTACAGCATTTTGGTCTTGTAAGGCCGGAAGCAAAATCTCCGGCGCTACCAACGCGGCTACAATCTCGTTCCTATATATTAACTCGGTGTTCGTTCGAGGAATTATATCCTGCAGATATGCCTCGAATCTCTCTCTCTCTTGCAAGTTGAAGTCGAAGACCCTCCGTTCGGCGTTCCTGTCTTGCTCGCAGCTGCTGTATCTGACGGGCACATCGTTCTGGCGACGCACGATCGCGTAGCAAGCGACACGATGAAGCGCTCGCACTGCAGCCCGGTGCGAGCTTCGACAGTGCTCTGTAACAGCACGCTGACGGCGTCTACAATTGGTCATCTCATCTTGGATCTCACGTTGGCGCCGTCTGTCTTCGCGAGCAGCTACATTCCGCGCGGATCGACGACCGCGATTTGCATCGTCTCTCATCAATGTGAAGACCTCCTGCACATTTAGTGAATCTCTTGTGAATGTGACGTACTCAAAAGACTCACTGTGACGAGATCGGTCTCGAGCGTATCTCGTCATACCATGGGCGTGATAACGCATGCGAAAACGTCGGAGTTTGTTGCGCATTGCTCTCCACGTCATGAAGGAAGTTTGTCTCAGGAAGCAAACCCGTAAGTGCATGGCGTAAAATAAGTCTTAGCTGGTCTGGCGGGTAATTTTTGCCGAACACGAGCTCATTTGGTAGATACGATCCTCGATCTCCAATCGAAGTACAAGTAAATCCATATTTACAGACGAAATGGCCTCGGTAGTTCTCGATATCAGATATGGAGATGTTGAAATAGCCAGTAGTGGGATTTGGGTGCAAATTGTGATGTTCATCCTCGTCGGTCATTGGTGACAGCTCAAACATGTACTCGCCCGCCTCATCATAAACGGGATGTGGGTCTCCAAGCAGTACGTTCGGCTTACTGTACTCAATAGGTATTTCGAGATACTGCCGTGCAAGTCGGTCTTGATCCTCCATCATCTGCGCTTTTCGTTGCAAATGGGAGAATGAAATTAATACATGTATGCATGATTCCACAAAGAAACATCGTGCTTATATGTCTCCAGGTCGATAAATATGTCTGAACGAAAATTTCATAAGCCAATACCGACACTGAATTGATCGCCACACTCATTTCGCGTCTCCCAAGAAGAAACCTCGAATGTCATTAGGTCGATAAATATCAGCCAGCAGCCTTGAAATTGTTTGTATGATTCTTCGACTGTATCCAGAACACATACGATTTGTATGTGCTCTAGATGCGTCAAAGTCGCCATCGACGCAATCGCGCCCCGTGCCGCAATCGACGTCACAAGCACCCGACACTTCAGTCTCGCATTTGTCTCCTTCATATCCAGCGTAGCCCTTACAACTACTTGGTGACTTTTGTTCTGTTCACGTAGGCACAAGTGCCCTGATTGCTGCATTGCTGCTGGGATTCGGGCGAGCCACAAGTACTAGGATACCAGGTACTGGCGTCGGCAGCCAAATTTTCGCACTCATATATTTGGAGACAGACGAGCTGACCGACAAGTTGTCACTCATATATTTGGAGACAGACGAACTGACCGACAAGTTGTTGTCGGTGACAACGTCCTCCTTGTTGATCTTCACTGTGTACGTTGAATCGGTGACAGTTGTGAGTGAAGAGACCTCATCACTATTGCTCAATGAGGTGATGGTCTCCTCGGAAAAGGGGTGCTAATTATAATCTGTTGTTCTAGCACTGTTCACCTGTTAAGTACCTGTGATCCCTACTGGCCTGTTGTCATTATTGTTCAGCTGTTAGTTGTTCTCGTTTCTGAGTACCCGCATAAAGAATAACAATTTTGATAGTTTTTGTGGAAGGTGCAGGCGTGATATACGGACACCAACTTCAACGAGTTGCAGTGCTACATGTTGAAGGAGACACAATATAATTAATATCTTCATTATTTTTTATTATACGTTGATGAAACTAATTTTTACGTTATTACCTATACTTTGACGACAAGTAATAAGCCTCACATATAAAATAATAAAGTACTTCCATAGCGCAGCTTGTAGAGACATTGTATGTATCCAGTGGTATGCATCAGTACTATTGAAGCTGCACGCATCTTTTGAATGTGGTTGTGACCTTAACATACTCGAATCGAAAGGTAGATTAAATTGTTAGCAGGTCCCTAGTTCTCGGCACCCGAAGCGCTCGATACATCTAGCCTCTAATCTTCAAATGTATGGTTGCCACATGAATCATTTCGCCACTTTTGCCTAGTTTGTAACACGAATGTGTAGGTTGTGGGCTCGGCTGACAGCTGTGGCTAGCTGTTCAGCTTCATAATCCTGAACACTACCGTTGCCAAAACGCACCGACCATTTGTACACTCCGTCTGAGAGCCGTACAGCAATGACGTCGCCAATGACCGAGCTGGATTCGGCTGTTTGGTCGGGAGCAACGTTGAAATTGCCCACTATTTTCCATTGTAGTGGCTGTCCCGGTCGCTTGAGAAAAAGTCGAACGAGTCGATTCACCTCATAAAACCCGTCCTCGTTACTCTGTGTTGTCAGGGCTAGACGCCTAGCTGGAGGTCGACCTGGTGTACGTCGAACTGGAACAGTAGCCATAGCAGTACGTAGATCCAAAAGGTCCAACAAGGACAGTACAGCTAGTACGTGAGAACACACCCATCCTGATCGGATAAAGGCCTCGCATGTACATTGCAAGAATTTCCGTAGTCGTTCGATCGTCTCGTGTGACCAAATTGGTAAAAGTTCGAAGGGGGGTGGGTACTCTTGGTGCTTTACCATCACTCTGTGCAGAGAAAGCAGCTCAAACTCTAGCATCAAGTAAGTGATTCGTCTGGGGAAACGACCATCGAGAGACTTCAGGAATTTAGTCACTCGTTCATTGTCCACATTAGCTCCAAGCATACCTTGACCACCAACGATATGCTTTGTAACGTTAAAAATACGACAGCACTTAGGCGTCGTAGACGTCCTCTGCCTTTGTAGACGAGCTTGTAGCTACGTTGCGAAGCAACCAGAAGTTCAGCTTTTACCATCATTTCTGGTGGAACGGGACCTTCGCTGAAGTGGGCGACCCTAAGAGCCAGTAGTCGATCGCTCTCGTTTCGAGTTTCGAAGGTATAGACGTCATCGCTTCTGTTGACCATCGCTCTGTATGCTGCCGAAAACGAGTCAAAGGTGGCTTCACGTACGTATGGTCACTGCGAAGCCACTTCTTCGTTTGCAGTCGTCGAGCTACTCCATCTTCGAGCTCGAAGGCGGTATCATTCGAACTTTCCACCGCATGGTCGAGGTCCACATCAGAAAAGTCTAAATCGCTCAACCCGATAGAATCCGCGTTGCTGTCGGCGGCGTCGTTAGACCCAACAGCGGCGTTGACTGCCATACTGGGCCGGTTTAAAACTTGAGCTGCTGCTAATACGAAGTCACAGTGTTGATTATATTGCGAAAGTAGAACTGTCTAGCTTACGATCGCTGTAACCTGGAACCTCGGAGTTTGCTTCCAAGTTGTATTCCATCAGCAGCTGTAACCTCGCACGTGTCCTCTTATGATTCGGCTGAACGGCGTTCCCACTAATATCATGATAGCGTTGGCGATCTGCTTCAATATGCTCCATCAGAGATCACACCAAGTGTGCTGGCTGCGGGGTGGAGGAGCTGATACAAGATGTGGCTCTATACGCCACCGTCACTCCGGATTGGCTCAGGAAGTCCCATGTAATCGGTTGTATGCTGAAGCAAATGAGCAAGTCGTTAGTTCGCAGATGATGCTATCTACAAGCATGTGCTATCAAAGGGTAAGTAGCCAAAACTCTCGTTAGATGGTGTTTTCCTCAGCTCCTATGCTCACTTATAGTAGAAATGAGATAAATATTCGTAGCGAGAAGCTAACGAGAAGCTCGTAAGATTGAGTTCAATTCATATCACCTTGTCGACATGTTAGTGCACTGAAGATGGTACTCGCCTTGAGTTATAGAACTTCGTCAGACTCACGGTATCGATTGGTCCCGCGTATGTTGTGCTGACTCCCTGTTGATGTGCAACAGGTCACCAGGGTGGACAACAGGCCAGCAGGGGCTGTAAAGGAGCAACAGGATATTATAGCAGGGGCAGAACAACAGGTATTAATTATTTTCCTAGGAAAAGGCTGCTGACCCAGTTGAGTCGACGACTTGATCCGTTTCCACTCGCTATGTTGCTGTTCGTAGAAAGGCAATCGTTTCCACGATCAGGGCCTTGGCAGGACGGACACAGGCCGGCTTGTGTCCCACGACAGGCTAGACGCTTCGACGTGTTTGGTGTGCACTTGGAGACTACGTAGTTTTGGACAGGGATACAGATCGTTCCGGGGTAGTGCTTCTCACAGTACGAGTCTGCTGTGCAATAGTACGGATGCTTATCGTCCGCCGAGGCCCCTGAGACGACACAAGCTGCGAAGACGGCAAGTTTGCAAGCCAATTTCATTCGAGGTGGGCGTTGCTGTAATGGCAATGGTGCAAATTCTTGAGTGGCTAATGCTCGCGGTTGCGACTACTGTAGATGATAAATAATACTTCAAGTAACTTGCTTAGGCACCTTGTAGTGTCGTACAGGTATTGTTATATAGTATGTATATGTTTATGCTTTTGCAAATCGAATGGATTTCGCTCGTTTTCGGTGTCAGATTTAGAAAAAAAGTTTTTTGGTTTGCTTAAAACCCACGACGATTTCTTTGAAAATTCCGGTAAGCACCAAAACCCACCCCAAAGAAAATTTGTTCATTTGAAGTATCATAGACAGGGCCCCCGAAAAAAAAATTGACGACACAGTAATTTCAATAAATAAGCAGACATTATTTATGTTGTCACCCTAAACTAGGCTCGTGCATAATTTATGGTGGCTGCATATTACATACGGTAATTTATGCGTACAGTTTCCTGAAGTTATCTGCAGCAGTCAATCGATCGCCACGAACCAGTCGTTTTGTTGCCGAATCGGCTGATCTCAGCAGACTCATTTCCTTTTCTCTCACTTCCCACTTTAGAAATGATTCTCTTCCTGCGCGAAAATGCTGGTTACTGAGACGCACAAACACTTGACACAGCAACTCGAGCGTAGATACCTGTTATTGATTCAATAAACCTTGGTTATTGCAGCAGTAACTCAATTATTTATTGGTCTTCTAGCTAAAGCATCATAACGTATTGCCAACATACAAGCTAGCTTCGCGATAATTTATCGTGAAGATGCTACTACGATAAATAACAATATCATTTTCGGACCCCCTGATCATAGAGCTCAGGTGTTAGTGTTTACAGGAAAAGCTACAGCATTCGATGGAGCAGTGGTCAGAAGTACCTGGTATTTTTACAGGAGCTATATGTACATGTTTGAGTCACACACCACCGTCTAAGAGCAAGGTGGTAAATGTTCATGTTACGTAATTAGTGCGCCAACCAGCCCCTACTGGCTGGCGTGCCCATGGTGGTAGGCCGTACTACTATTCGAGTGAAGTGGTCTCTCACAGAGCCAAGTTGGCAAGCATGACCGCGACAAACATCGATGCAAACACCAGCAGCTTGGAAGACTGCATAGTCATGGCGGAGTCGGAGGGGCATGTCGAGCAATCAAAGGAAGAGTTGCCGGTAATGTCGCACAGCGCGCACGAGGGGCTGCACATGGGGCAGTAGCAAGCAGAAGACCCGTTTGCCAGCACCTGGCAGGCACCAATGCCGCAATCCGTACGGGTCGTGCACGAGTCCTCCGTGGCACCGCACGTGTCACCGCTGTAGCCAGGGCCGCAGATGCACTTACCCGTCTCGGTGTTGCATGTGTTACCATTCTGACAAGCCAGGTCGTTCGTGCAGAGCGTGCAACGCTGGTTGGGCTTGCCCTTTTTGCCGTCGTACTCCTTGCCGTCGAAACCTTCCTTGCACACGCACTCACCGTCCACGCAGTCACCACCAGTACCGCAGTCCACGTCACAAGCATTCGAAACCTCCTTCTCGCACTTGTCACCCTCGAAACCAGCGTAGCACATACACCTACGCTTGGTGATTTTCTTCTTATTCTTGTACGTGCAAGTTCCGTGGTAAGTGCACACCTCCTTGGAGTCGGGTGCTTGGCACGTCGTGGGTTCACACGTGCTGGGGTCGGCGGCCTTGTTGGCGCAGTCCGATACGTCCAAGCAGACAAATTGGCCGCTCACCTTCTCTCCGTCAATTGTGACAGAGTACATGGCACTGGCGCCACTGCCGCTTTCGGTGGCAGTCGAGTCCTCACTGCCGCTAGCTTCCGCTGATGATTCCGTAGACTTAGCGGCTTCCGCTGAGCCAGACGAAGTAGTGGACGACGCTGCAGCGCTACCGCTGGCAGCAGCCGAGGAAGCGTTCGAGGCTGCGCCCATTAGGCGTCGACGGCCAGAGCCTGAGCCGCTGGAGGATAGCGATAAGTTCTCCTCCGACACGAACACACAGTGAGCGTTCAAGTAGCCAATGTCGGCGCTTTGGAACGACGGACACAGACCAGGTGTCGCGCCACGACATGCTGGACGCTTGGCAGTGTTGGGTGTGCACTTGGAAACCACGTCACCGTAGTTATTAACGGAGATACATGCCGTACCCGGGTAGTTCTTCTCGCAGTACGAGTCCGAGTCACAGTAGTAGGCCGGATCGTCGTCCGCATACACGCCCATGGCCAGGGCGGCGGCAAACACAGCCAGCGCTCGGATACACTTCATGAAGCCGGGAGGTGTGCGAAGCGAGCTTCTCGACTGGCTGAAGGACGGCAAAAGCGAAAATGTGCGCAGTCGTTGGGTTGAATGGTTTGAGCCTGAGCGGAAACCGACAGCAACTCTCCGCAAAACACGCGCTTGCAAGAGGATAAGCTCGTCATCAAATATCCAATTTAGCGTGCGTGCGTGACAGTACTGCTTAGAAAAGCCAAGATTATTGGAAATTTGCGTCCCCTATCCGCGCGGGTAGAGAGAGGGGCCGTCCACGTCGCCAAGCTGGCAAAACAGCAAAACGAACGCCTGAAGAGCCTGCAGGTTTCATCAGCCCGCCGCTCTGCGCTCCACAAATCGCGCCACACACCCACAACATCGATCAGTGGATGTCATGTTGTGGGGTGGAGTAGCGAAGCGATGAGAGGCAAGTCCCGACACTTTGCTGAGCTGGGGACCGATGTACATGTACAACAATGAACTTGAAGTAGTAAAAATCTGAACCAGACAGAAAAATGCCAGCCACGATAGATCCGGTCCAACTTCCTGTCTAACGGCATGTCAGCACTACCAAAACGCATAGAAACGTTTCAGCCACTGACACGGCTTCATCAAAGATAATTGCACGATTGGCTGAAAATGAAACTGCATTTCAATTTCTGCTGCAGGCAACTATGGTGTTCTACTTCACCTCGTCTGGTGCGTATTGCGCGTCTTGGCTCCATGTGCTGATGAGTCAGATCAGCGCCACTGCTAGTCTTGCCCACAATAATATTTTTTGCACACAGAGGGCCACACCATCTACATGGGCAAGGACAAGTTTGAAAATGAAGACCTAATCCGCTATGGCTTCATGGAGGATATTTGGTGCGTCCCAACTGTCATTAAATGATAAATTATATCACTGGTGGCTTTTGAATCCTAAAGCGACGCGTTTGCGTCGAGGTTACAGGTTTCACGTCGACGACTTATCGTCTGCTCATGTATACCTGCGCCTCCCTCTGGTCGTTTTTTTTTTTTCTCTCAACGAAGATGCATCTGCTTACTGCTGGCTGTGTGCGTTGTCTTGAGCCAGGGCCAAACCAAAGTGGACGATGTTTCGGAGACGTGTTTGGAAGAGTGTGCTCAGCTGGTCAAGGTGTGTCTAAGCAGGCCTCAAAGTTCTTTTTAATCAATAAATCGCTCACTTTTTGTCTTGATCGCTGTAGGAAAACTCGATCGAAGGAAGCAAGAAGAAGAGTGTCAGTGTCGTACGTATAATTCTTGCTTTGTCTTGTCGACACGATTATGCCGTTAGTTTTATGACACCATCATTGTGCGATTTAATACCATTCATAGTGTTACACACGATGGCGAAATCTGAAGAAAACCCCGTCCATGGAGATTGGCCAAGTGGGCTTCAACCACCCTGAACGAGTGCGTGAGGCTGAACACTTACTGTTAGGTAACGCAGCTGACGATACGTCATTGCAGGTTCGACATTACAAAGTGGAGGAAAAGAACAAAGACATCATCAAGAGTCTCAACAAGACGAAGCAGGAGTTCCACCCCGACTTGGAAGGTGCGTTGGTGGCCCGAGAGTGCATTTTGCTGGTCTCTCTGACGCAACGCACTTCACAGAGGAGCACCGACAGCGCGAGTTGTTGTACAAGGCCGAACGGAAGAAACAGCGTCTGCAGCTGGAAGCGGAGCAGCGCAAGGCGAAGATGGAGTTCAAGCAGCAGAAGGATCTGCGTAGCTACTCGTACGTTCGCTCATGCCGAATATTTCCAAGTATCTCGACTTGTTTTCAATTGAACTGACACCGCCTTAAACGACAGGACCCTCATGTCGAGAGACAACATTGAATCAGGCGACAAGCTGGATGCTGCTGCTGATCTCAGTAGCGTCAATGCTTACGAAGAGGACTTTATGTGATAAAAAAAACTGAAGATGGCTTCAACTTGAAGCTGAAGAATTGGAGTCAGCTTTCGTTTTTTCAATAAAACGTTATGTGTACCACACAACTATTGCCTTGACCATCATCAACCATCCGCCGAGGTTCCAGGAAATGGCTGCAGAGACCACGAGGTCGCCGGTGGTCACCGGTGAGGCCACAGCAGCAGCAACTGCGGACGAAAAGGTCGCGCAGTGCATGCGAATGCTGGAGGGTCAAACTGACGAGCACAAGTTCGCCGGTCTGCTCATGGTCACGAAGCTGGACGATCTGTCGACCGATCAACTCCAGCAGGTTCGGCAACAGGTTCTCACGACCGTCGGTGTGAGTTTCTTTCTACGGCTACTGCACACGAGAGGTCTGTCTTTTTTCTCTTGAGCGATGCTAAGCCATGAGGTAGCTAACTCTGTGCCCTTTTCCGGTGCTGCAGGCCCGGATGACGTCGAGCTGCTTTCGTCCTTTCAAAGCCTCGGACTCAACTTAATTGCGAGGTACTTCCATAATTTAGTTCTGTAGGTCATGTAGCTATATTGAAAGAACTGACTTGTTACACTGACTCAGCTTCTGCACAGACCCAAGCGTGGCGAAGGAGTTTGCACAGGATAAGCTCATGAGGTTTCTTTTAGAACAACTGGGGTCCCAGTCAACGCCGCATGAGTCGGCTCTGGACTGCGTTCGCATTCTATCAGGCTTGAAACAGACTGAAAAAGGCTTGCAGGTGCGGCAACCAGCCGAAACGCTAGATGCACTGCTTCTGTGTGGTTCCTGAGGCGTTGTCCGTGTGCTCTTGCCTAGGTTATGATGAACGAAAGTGTTCTCGGACGCCTCTTTAGTGCGATGAAGAAACTGAGTCGATCTCACTCGAACCGAGATCTGACTGTGGAGAGCAAGTCGGCTGAGCAAGAGCAAGTGACAGATTCCCTATTGGAGGATCTGTGGAGCATTGTGGGTGGCATGGCGAGCAATCCAGAGCTTTGGGCACACATCCATAGCTATGACTTCGAGTTCATCTGCTCTAACTTTTCACGCGTGCGAGGTGACAGCGCCATCCAAGTGCTAGCTGTTTTGAACAGCTACATGAGGCTCGTTGAGATTGGTGACGCGCCGGTCGAGCTACTAAGCTCACAGTGTCTTTCTGACATTCGCACGGGCGTCCTACGCTTTCTACGTGCTAAGTGGCCTCATCAGGAGCGTGACGAGTGCTTGCGACTCATATTCCAACTCATACAGCACTCGGGTACTTCGTGGATGCTGCCAGGCACTACGCTACGCAGCCAAGCGCCCCCTGATGAAGTGTCCGGCGGCAAATTCGTTCTGTTCCTGCTGAAACTCGTGTCCATTGAAGTATGTGTTTTGATATCGTACCTTCTAATCAGCTGAGCTCTCACTAATTAAAAGTCCGCTTGATTAAACGCAGATTAAAATTATGCTGGACGAAGTGGAGCTATCTCTGATACAAGTCGATGAAGCAAAGGTGGAGTCTGTGGAAGAGTCCGAGAGACGCGATAAGGAAGTCAAACGTGTGCTCGCCATATTACCAATTTGCTATGGGATCGTTGAGATGGTCATCAGCGGTTTAGTCTCCAACTACGAGAACGAACTCATGCTTCCCTACGACATTTTGCTGGAGATGAAGGGGACATTCAACCAGGTATTTGTTGTGGTGCTCGAACTGCTGACACTAGTTCGCGATTACGTCCAGACTCATCGCTATCGTGAGCTGCGCGAGACCCACGCAGAATCAGTATACCACCTGGATGCAGTGATTTGCGCCAGTGTGCGTATTGTGAGTGCCTGGATTGCAGAAGACTCCGACACGAGTGTCGATCTAGTGATGCAGTTGGTTCCATTCATGGTATGCTACAAGCCATTACTGGCTTGGGTTGCAGAAGACGATGGAGCCCAACTCTTTAAATCGGAGGACAATCAGACTTTCGATTCCGATGACGAGATTGACTCAGACGACGAGATTGACGCCGTATCTCAGATGATGCAGAAGGCTGCCGTGATTCACAAGACCGATAGCAGTATTGACCAGCTGCATTTCTTATTGCCAGGATTGCTCCAGCTCAGTGCACTACCCGACGGCGCAACGGTAATGTCGGAGAACGTGGATGTTCTGAGACGTTTGATGCAGTTTTGCTGCACCATCTGCGCCGATATCGCCGACGGGAACACAGAGTTTGCCAACGTGTCTACCCTCACACTCTGTCTGGGCATTTTGATCAACCTTATCTTGATTCGTGGAAGCAACGAGAGCTCTGGAACGTCGCAAACCTCTGGTGTACCCAACGCACTGGAGTGGTTCCGTGCATTGACGTTCCTCCTTCCTGTGGCGTGTGCCAGCGGATCTCGATTAATGACAGATAAGGAACTTACGGTGGATAATCGAGGTGAAGACGACCGCTACGTGATGCTTCTACACATCGTCTGCGTGGTGATGTTTATTGTGAGCCATTTTCAAGACAAGAAGCTCCACCCGTGCCGCTTACCGGCTGCAATTGCAAGTTTGGTCACGTCATGCAATCACATTGTCACGTGGATTGTGGAGCACCCTCCTGATGCGAAGACCGAGTCAACCTCGGACCTCTTCGAGCTGGTGCGAGTCCTCTCGATGAAGTCATTTTTGACGCCGGAGCTGTTGTCTCGATGAAAGTTTTTCTTCGGACCAGTGATGGTACATGCATTTAGCATGCTTGACAGAGGATTCGAGGCTGTACGTGTGGAACTGCATACTTGTTTTCTCGGTTAAATAAGTTTCTCAATAAAGCAGCTACTGTACGGCAAAGCTCTGTGCTTTCCTACTGAGGGAGGGCAACGCCGGCTGTACGAATAGTGAACATGACTGCATCGCCCGTCACTGGTTCGTGTCGTTGGCGAGACTTGTACTTGACTGTAATTTTTGCTACCTATCGAGTTCTATCTTATTGTGGCAAAACGTGGACTTTAAAGCCGGCGGTTCACGAGGTCGAGATATCCTGTTCCTCTGCAGAATCACTCAGACGTCGCCGCTTGTCGATCGCTCGGATGGTTTCTTGTTCGCGGAAACGACGACGGGATGCGTTGCGGTGCATGACGGGTACTACGGGTTCAGAAATGCAGGGGGGTAATGCTGCAGACAGACCGGAGCCGCGTTGCAGCACACTTGCGTTCATGACGGGCGGCTGAGTCTGGAATATCGGTATTTCACTTGATAGAGATCCGCGCATGGCCAATCCAGTTGCTGACGTTGAAGCTGCGTTGCGTCTCACCCGCGCGTTCACGATGGCTCGGATGACCTGGTTGCTGGCCGACAGTTCCAACAGTTCGGCTGCGGGCATACTGGACTGGGACTGTTGTAGGACGATGGTGGTGTTGATGGCGTAGACGCTGTAGCTAGTGTACGCGTCGGTAGGTAGCTGGTGACGGCATGTGGGGCAGGTGCTGTGCATCTTGAGCCAGGGTTCAATGCAGCGCTCGTGGAACTGGTGGCGGCACGTGGGTAGCTCGGCGCAGGGTGATGTGAGTGCCTCCATACAGACGACACAGACCGCACGCTCTCCATCTTGTTGCTGTCGCGCGTCGGCCGGGTTGCTTTTGAGCGTCTCCATGAGATGCATGGCGGCAGGTGACACACCGTTAAGCTGTGGAATGATGTAGCGAATAATGGAGTGCACCCAGCGCGCACTCTTAAACAGTAACAGCGCATCCTTGATCTGGGAATTGGCCGGGGCTGCGTAGCGTACATTCACACGGATGGCGAGATCCATGGCTAGTTGACGTCGAATTCGAGAGTGTGTCCTTTCTCGCTGAGGCAGCGGATGAAAATGAAGCTGAAGCCGAGCTGGCTACAGTCGTCTGGAAGTATCAGAAGCTGAGTTCCGAGTGATGGTCTAGCGTTTTGTGCGGACTTTCTCGGGCTGGGTTGCTGACTGACGGACTTGCTTCTGTTGCTGCTGTTGATCAATGCAACAGGCGGCTTTTTCGTTTTTGGGCTGGAGTTGCGGGGTGTTGCCAAACTGCAATGCACGCCGCGGGTGAGATGAAGGGAGTATTTTGGTCGGGACTACGCGTGCTGCCGCAAAATGTTATTTTGAGGCGGTGCCGTTAATGCTTCCTCGGGTGCTCAGCGTTGGGTAGTTTTGCGAATGCTAGCCTTCCGGTGTGAGGAAAAGTGTCTAACCGCTGAGGATTACGTAGTCCCGATTGAGAGCGATTTGCAAAAACCATACATACTTTTTGGCCGCTTACATTTCTCAAGTCAAAACCGACTACCCTGCCGGGTAAGATGCAAAAGTGACCCGTAACGGTTTACCTTGAGGCAAATTCACAGCAATAGTTGCCAGGAAAGTCACAGCCGACAATGAACACCCTCTCACTTCGCCAAGCCTACATCCAGCACTAAAATGGTGTGTTTCTAAAGGTAGTAACAGCAGCGTAGAGCAGACGCAGCTAATATAAGCGTTAGTGGCTTGAGCTAATCCCTCGAATGGATCATAATCTGAGTGACACACTGATAGAGCGAATGACGCACGCGCCGGGGCCATTTATTCGCTCAAAATGTCATCACCGACGCCAGAAATGGTAGAACGGGAGGGCTTGAAACGATAGAATTGGCCAAAGTCCCTGACAATCGACGATTCTGAACATTGTAGAGTAATCAGATTCTGATTATCAGAGCTGATAATCAGAATTAAACAAAGCAAAAAAACGAAATGTGTTTACTCTTGAGTCGGCCCAACTAATTTAGCTGGGTAACCTAACCTAGGCGCTTACAACAATAACAACAGTTGTTACTGAATTATGTAGTATCCCCAGAAATGTGTGCTTCTATTTTCTGTGCTGTCATACATGTACTATTATTAATAATGATGCAACATGAAACTTCAAAGGAGCTAGCCGCAAACATTGTCCGTTTCGCGAAACACTATGTGGACTGTCGAGACATCAGAGAGTTGCTAACTGATGTTGCGAGCTTATTGGTATTTTTTAAGCGACAGTTTCGTTTGGTTGATTCGTTTTGTCAAAACTGTGTGGGGATCGTCGATCACCGAAAACCCACATCTTCTCATTCTTACCGAGGTAAAGATACCGTTGTGCTGCGGGCCTCAAATCCCGTGGGTTTCTTGCTGGTTCTGCCCCACCTCAGTGGGTTTCATCGGTGCGCTGGTATGAAACTCTGGTGGGGCGAGCAGGAACGATGATTGCAATGGTACGGGCACCTGAGCGGGCGTCAACGGTCGCAATGACCCAATACGGGAGACTACCATGGCTCCTTTTGACGAATCCAGTGGGGTCAGCGTCTGTGAGGACGGAGAAGGCGACAATGGAATCACCCGAGCTGTTCCTTTGTAATGGTGGACCAGGGGTGCATCTGCTGCCCCTGACAGTAGCAACTGAACTTGCGTTTGCAACCGCTGGATGTCGCGCTTCTGCTTCTCCACCACAGAGGCGAGTTCGTCGGCACGAGCTACACTATGACGACCCCGCTCTACGCGCCCAAACGGGAGCTGCGTCAAGTTGTTGGGACTTGGAGATGGGCTGCTGCTAGGTGTTCGTTGTCGTCTCTGCTGCTTAGACGGCGTAGTTGTCAGTCCTGTGGGCAAGGGCGCTAGACTCATAAGTCCACTCCCTGCAGTGACATCAAGCGCCAGATCGAGGTGAGGCGTTTGTGACGGTGAAGCAGGACGCAATTGCGGGCTCGAAAGACTGAGCGATCCGGACATTCGCTCGCCATCAAAGTTGTTGGACTTCCTGTTTGTGATGAACAGAGCGCGTTTCAGATCACGAATCAGGACTTGCAATTGTTTGTTCTCTTTCCGCAAGCTGTTGCATTCCTCAATAAGCATGCTACCTTCAGCGACAGAGTCGCGTCGGACGCGGTCGGTCTGCGTCTTCGCATGATCCAGTGCTGTCCGCAGAGTTTGGATAGTTTTACTCATAAACTCCATTTGCTTGACCGACTCGTCCACCGACTGTTTGCAGTCGTATCCTAGCGCTTCATCGGATACAACGGACGCCATCACATTGGCAGGGGTAGCAGTAGACGATTGCAGTTGCTTCGACTGCACATGGGACGCTTTAGTGTTGAACGTTGTGGTCGTTTTTGCTGGTGAATAAAACCCACCACCACCAGGAGAAAATGGCAGGGCGGTACTTGCCGCAGTACTGGTAGTAGAGAATATTGCTCGAGGAGGTTTCTTATGCAAAGTTTCTCCCATGACGTACACTTTGTAGGCGTCTTTCACAGCACTCTCCAAGTCTTTGTAGTTGGTGAGCTGAGTGAGACGCGTGAACTCACGAGTCATTTCACCAACGGAATACTCCTTCTTCAACGAGTTTTGACGCAGCGTTTTGACCTCGTGCAACAAGGTTCGAATTTTAGCGTCTTTAGTCTCCGTTTCCTGTTGCGCCTCTGCCTTGGCTAGGTATTCGTCAGCAAGTTCCGCTTGCATCTCACTGATCTTTGATTCCAAAGCGTGCAAGTGCTCATGCATCGGTACTTGCTCGGTTTCAAGCCCGTCGATACGATGAGAAAGCACTGAGCGGAAGTTCTCGAGGACGCGGTTGTCCGACTTCAACCCGGTGATTGTTTTTTCCTTTTCATGACTCGAGCCTCGACATACTTCAAAATGCCGTTCATAGTTTGCCAATGTCGCCTCAAGTCGTGCCAGTTTTGCTCGCTCTGTCGACAAAAGCACATCACGAGCATGCGACGCCGCCTCCAGCTCCTGCATCTTCCTTCTGAGCGACTCGAGCCTCGTATTCGCCGCACTCACTTGTCCCTGCTTCACTGCGGTGTTCTGACGTTCGTTTTCCAGCTGGGTAGTAAACTCAGCTCGCATCTTCTGCATCTCGTACTCGTAATCCGTCTCCTCTTGGTGCAAGACTTCTTCAAACTTGACGTGATTGTATTTGAGATCTTCATGTAAGCGTTTGATGATCTCGTTCTGCTCCTTGGAGCGTGTGTAGGCTGCCTTCCGCTCTGCATGCAACGTACCGCGATTTTGACTATCTTGAGCCTCCATCAGCGCTTCGCATCGTTGTCGTGTCTGCTCTAAGGTCTCCGACAGAGCGTCGTACCGAGCCATCTCTTGTGCGAGCTTCCGTTCGTACTGGTTTTCCAGCTCTTGGGTCATCTTGACGTGATGTGCTTCAAGCTGCGTTAACTCTTCTGTGTGTTTCCTTGTCGCCAGTTGATGACGCGCTTCTAATTCTTCATAACGCACGCGTTCCTGGACAACAAGATGCTCGGACTCTTCCTTCAGCACGTGCAGGCGATTGATCCACTCGTTTTCTTTCCGATGCAGTGCAAACTCGACGTCCGCTTTCACTTGGTCATGTAGTAGTCGCCATTCCAACACCTCAGCACGTCGTTCCTCTAGGTCATCACGCGCTACCAGTACGGCGTCGGTGTAGGTTTCCCCTGCTTTCCTACGCTCTGCTGAAGCTGATGATGACACGGGTCTAGCAGTCGATACACCCGTGCGAGATGTTCGCGTTCCACACGAATCGTCCTTTTCTTGATGTTGTAGTCCACCGTTTAGTATCTTAAAGATGCCAACACTGCCATCCTCCGCACATGTAATTAGCTGCTCGTTGTCTTCTGTCACGCGCAAGTGTAATATCCCTTCCGCGTGTGCGAAATATTCAGCAACACCCTTGTTGCGTAGTGGCCACGGGTAGGTTAGTATGCTCCCTGCTTTGGTACCGACGAATAGACGCCTGCAATCCTTCATCAAAGCCATGGAGGTGATTACAGTACCCGCAGGAAGATCATAGCTCTTTGTCTCTTCACCCCCAGTGATCTCACGGATCTTGCCATCGCTTCCAGATGCCACCACAACGCTGGGATCATTTCGGTCCACGACAAATGCTGCATATTGACAGTGTTTTACCACGTGCTGCATTTCTTCACTTCGCAATCCTGTGCTGATATCCCAACGGTATATTGATCCATCATGCGCTGCCGAGAAGAGATAGACATCGTCACGACTCCAGCTCAAGCATCGTACAGCGCCAATATGGCCGGAGAATGTATGGACGGCCTCGAACGTGTACGTACGGAAGGTTTTGACTGTAAGACCAGAGGCACAAGCAAACAAATGGCCACCGTGTGCGTATCGAACAAAGCGACAAGCCTTGGTAGCGAGCTCTTTAACTTGCCGCAAACTCTCTTGTAAGAGTTGATATACACGAACTCGCTCCTTGAAGGCTACAACGAGCTGGAATCCAGACGGATGCACTGCAACCGTGGTGGGTTCTTCGGGACACTGACTTAGCAGTTCATAGTGATTCAACTCGAAATTCCACACTCGCACGGTCTTGTCGGTACCGCAAGTCACAACAATTGGCCTCTGCACACTTACATCTACTTGTAATACAGGACCAATTTGATGACTCTAAGAACGAAAAATGGGTAAGAACATGTTCACCAAAGAAGAAAAAATATCTAAACGCACATGACGAATCAGCTCTCGGAACTCAATCTTGTCTTCCTGTCCGGTATCAATCGCGCTCATAGAAAAGGTGACTAATTCTCGACTTTTTGAGCAGGCTACGATTGTTTCCGAGTTTGGTGAGACAGCGATGCAATCAAACGCAATGTCACCGACCGATACGGAGCGCACAAATGGAAAAGGGTCTTTCGGATCGTCCTGTATCGTAGCCAGTGGAGCTTAGCATTGCCGTTGACAGTTTACATGATCAAGCACAACGTACCGATGCTTCAAAGATGCTGAAGAAACCGGCCGAGCCACCAAGAACAAATCCCTTCCCATGAGCGGTGACGCACTCCATGCGTACGTGAGATGGCTGATGACACCGAAAAGAATGAACGAGATCAGCGTTGCACCCGTCGAGCGCGATACGGAAGCAAAGCAGGAGATCACGCTCGGAGAGAGCGACCATGTGCTCTTTCAACCAGGTGTGGTCGACGAAATGTTCTTGATCCTTAAGTTGTGGTAGGAAATTCGAGATCTTGAAGTCGTTGTTGGTCCAAACCCAATACTTGAGTGTAGCAGGCCCCGAAACTGAGATGAAATTGGCGTTGGTAGGACTGATGTGGATTCGCGAGCCACGACTTGGACATTTGCCCGAGGCCAAAAGCTTGCAATTGCTCACCTTCCAGTATGTTACAGAATGTGTCGGAGCATCCTCAAGAACCGCGAGAAACTTGTTATCAGTCGAAAAGCTGCATGATACTACGCTCGAGTTGGCTGGTAAAGGTATATTTCTCACTCGGGTCTTCGTACCGAGTTTGTAGATTGCAAGAGCATGAGCTTCTTGATCTCGTAGTAGGCTTTGCAGTGCCACATTTGACCCTTTTAAAGGTGAGGTTGTAAGCGGCATCGCGGCGGCAGCTCCAAGTGCTCCGACGTGCCCGATACCCTGTTGAAGTACTTCTGCTACAGCCAAGAGCTCACGATTGGGCGAAACCTGGAAGCTCTGAATGCACTTGACATGGTGAATATGATGAAAGAAATCCATAGCTCGAGTTTCGAGGTTGTACATGACCAAATGGTGGGCCACAGGATAAATAACCGTGCAGTCGCCAGCAAAATCGACGACTGTGCGACCACATGAGCGAAGTCCCAACGCATAGCTGAGAGCCGCAAGAAGTTTAGTGTTATCTTCTAGCACGCAGAGCTGAATTCTACGTACGTGGGTTTGAGGTGAAGCGTTGTTTCCTTCTCTTCTTCGGTATTTGTAAACAAGGTCAGGCGTTCTTCGCGAGGTTCCTCTCTCTTGTTCACGGATGATTTCACCTTGCCTTCCATTAAAGACCCTTTGTTGTTGGACAGACAATATCTTCGTCACGCCTGATAAAAAATAGGGATATAATAGTAGCGAAATAACGCCGTCCATTCCTGGCACTGGTCGTTTCGAAACTATTCTTCAATGTCGGTGTTCTCTTCAACAAGAGGTCTTCCAGTTTTCGTGTTGAACATCAACGCTTCCCATGCTTGGCGGGTTTTTTCATAAGCGCAAGAAGAGCCAAGATCTGCGGCCCCCGTCGCTTCAGGATGTTAAGAAGTACGCCCACTTTACCAGGTTATCACCAAGTTCTGACCCACGCTAAAATATTAAATTCTTTAGATTTCGAGATACATACGCCAAATATGCTGAGCTCAGACAAGTTGGAGCGCCCCCATGCTTTGAAAAGGTGAATTTTGAATTATTAGAAGTAAGCGCTCACAGCCAATCTAATACCTTGCTTCTAACAGAGCATTTACAAAGCCATCGCCGGCCAGAAAGAGCTTCACACCGTCGAATTTAGACTTGAAGATATCACGGATCCACAGATAATTGCGTTGGCGGAAGCGCTAGTAGAGATGCCAATCATTTCGGTGCTCGATTTGAGAGACAACCGAATTACTGATGACGTACGCTTTCCGAAAGACTCTTGCCTCGTTCGGCCAATAACGCATTCTGTGACTTAACCTCGTATTTTCTTATGAATGAGCAGGGTGCTAAAGCTCTACTGGAAGTTCTTCGGATGCAAATTGTCGCTGCGAAAACTTCACTAACAATCGACTCTCGATCGAAGCAACCACTTTATCCGCCTATGCCTGAGTACACACGGTACGTGACGAATGTAAATCTGAAAGGCAATGAGGTATCGGCCTCTGTTGTCCAAGAATTCTCGCAATACGTGGATGTTCTGCGTCGGGAAGATAAACGACTGGAAATCCGTGCAGCTCTCAATCAAATCGACCGCAATAACGACGGTAGAATTGATGAGGAAGAGTTCAAAGGTGTACTTAAACTTCTTACTGCATCCACGCCGACGAAGAAGGAAATCCGAGCTTTTATGCAACAACACACTCTCTCTACAGACAACGCACAAAGCGTTGTCAATCTGGAAAGTGTTCTTCTAGCCAAGTGCGCAGTATCACCGTCTAGACATTCCGCATGTCCGCCGTGGGAGTCATTAGTTCAAGAACGTCACGCCGTTTTAGGGGCTCCTCGGATGGCTTCGACAATGGTATCTACGACTCCAGAGTCTCCTGATTCTTCTTCGTCTAAAGCTCGCGTGAGTCGATCCAGTGTTAAATCCTCGAGTGAAAGAAGCGTTGGTCCGTCTGTTCAACGCGGCAATTATTCGGACGCGTCTCCCTTATCGTCACCTCCATCCCAAGCAGCTCCTGTCTCGTCTCTCGAGACCAAGCCACCACCAACTCCAGTAACCAGTATCCCGGTAGTTACTCAACAAGTGGCGCCGAAGGTATCAGAATCGAAGAATGCAGCGTTACCATCGGATCAACCGGCCCATTCCACGAACTCCCCGCAAGTACCTATGCTCCCGCTGTCCTCTGTGCTACAGCATAACACGGGTCCCAGCCCACGTTCTGCTCGATCAAGCTTTGGTGACGGTGGACACCGCAACCTCACCAAGCCCAGCCCACGATCAGCTATTGGCGACGAAGGGCTACGAAACCCGTCGCTAACAGGACCCAGCTCCGGTATCCCTGCACCCTCCTCGCCCCACGAGTCCGATTTCAGTGACAGTATGAGTTTCGTATCCCCAACACTTGGTGGATCTATATCGCAACGTATTTCGGAGGATCACTCTTTGACAGAACGCAAGGCTCATGTAGCTACGAATAATTCGTCACCAACAAACGTGGACTCATCACGCTGGCGAAGCGAACGCTTTTCAGGAAAGGATGACGAAGCTGCTAGTAATGGTGGCGTTCGTGGTGCTCTAGAAGCATCGGATGTACCAAACAGTGGCAACTTTGATGACGATGTGCGTTCGGTCACTAGTCACAACCCGTTAAAGGCGACCTTCATAGCTGGAAGCACCAATGACAACAACAGTGTATCCGGTCTATCTCGTCGTGAAGACAGCTTTGATACTGCGAGAGAAACGTCAACGAAAGGTGCTGAGTATTCCACCAGTGGGCATGATGAGAAGCGTTCTGTTCCAGAAAGTGTGGTATCAACACCGCGGTTAGATTTGACGTCGCTGGTATTTGAAGGAATGGAAGATGGGACCCGAACTGCAACGTTTAACAGCAACACCAATGGTCCTCTTGATGAACCTGAAGACGACGATCAAGTCGAAAAACGTATTGATTCTACGATATTTGACGTAACAAAGGACGGTAAAGAGCGCTCAGTGGTGAAACTCATTCATTCGGAATTCAGAAGCGGCCTAACTGTGAAGGATTTCCCAGTCGATCTCCCATTCAGAAACTTGTTGGCTCTGCTTCTCCCCGACAATGGTCTTTCAGATCTTGCATTATTTAATAAGGTAAGCTTCCAGAGGATTGTAACCACGACATCACTTACTAAGATCTCATTCTGTTCGGTTGTTAGTGTCGCTTTTCATTCGTGACGGTACTCGATTTGTCACGAAACAAACTGGGCAAACTACCAGACGACGGATTAAGTGCCTTTCCACGACTGGAAGTGCTGAATCTGGCAGAAAACCAGCTGAAAATCATTTCCGGACTCACCAAGACATTTCAACTCCGGGCTCTTGGTCTGAATCACAACTGCATTCGAATCGTGAAGAACATTGAACATCTTACACAGTTGGAGATACTGGAGTTAGCTCACAATGGAATTGCTACCGTCCACGCTCTTCGGATATTATCGCTCAACAACAAGCTGACTCACTTGAATCTAGACGGTAACTCTGTTGTCGACACGGACGAACGTCAAAAGCGAAAGAATATTGTTCATGTTCGGAATCTTGTACCTGCTCTTCAATTACTGGGTTCAATCCCGTTGGCCCACACCAAGAAAGTGAGCAGTGATACCAATACCGGTAAAGGAATATTCGAAAACGATCTACTTCCGGACTACAAGACGTTGTGGGTCTCAACTGCGTGTGACACGCTTCACATTATACAAGACGCTCAAAGCCACAGTGCATACCACAGTCATTATGACGATGAGTGGGATGCGAGGGATGAAGATGGAGAGGGTCGACCTAATAAACCACTAACTCGAGAGCAACAACGGCACAAAGATGAGCTCAGAAGTCGAGCACCAGGGTTTCGATCACGAGGGAAGGCTATGCCTTCACCTCCAAAGGTTAAGACGTCTGTATTCAGCTTTGGTCCATCCCAGCAACCCCCTGTAAGGAAGAAAAAGAAAAAGCCAGCTCCGGCTGACCCCAGCGTTGTGAGAGAACAGCAACGTCGAGCTAGTGAACTCAGTGCACCCAAGTATGCTCCAGTTGATAAAACCTTGATGCACCAGGAGCAGCAAAGAAAATCTCGAGTTGATTTCCACGCAGCAATGACAGTCGGAGAGCGATTGCAACTTGCACAAGATATGACCCAACGACGACCCACTGCAACAGTAGGTCTGAGTGCTAGATCACGATCAATACTAGCAAAAGCAGAGAGCCGCAAACGAGTGAGTATGGAGTCAGCGATGACTATTGTCGAGGAAGCAACGGAAGCAGAAGAACACTATGAGATTACGTCTCGACCCTCCAGTCCCCAACCTTCTCCAATGAAAAATGCACTGGTGTTCCGTATCGACCCAGCGGATACCCCTCACTCACCAAAAGCTCTTACGTTCCGCATCGATCCTTATCCTGTTGGACCGTGTCAACAACCTAGCTCACCAAAACCAACCGAAGCAAAGGAAGCTGGTTTCTTGCACGACCTCGCCGTCTCGGACTTTCTGAGTCATGCCGAAGAGGAGTTTTCAACTGCGCTTACTGCTCTTAACGTTTTGCTCGCTATCAGTGAAAAGGAGCAGGGGGATCGACATAAATTGGCAGAATATCGCGCTAGTCTTGACGCATTGGACATTCTCAATGCAAGTGAGAGTCACGAATTGTACAAAAAAGCTCAAGGCCACGCGGATACTGAACTTGCAGCTCAATGTATTGAATGGTTTACCAAGTTAGGCGTCGTGAAAAAGTGCATGCGTCAGCTTTTGGAGAAACTAGAAATGCATGCTCCGGGCTCCGGCGTAATTCGAGCCTACTGTCGGTGTCTCCGCTCTAATGAACTGCGTGGAATTATCGCTGCAATATTTAAATCCCAAGAAGGTGCTCTTGATCCAAGTGAGGCAATTGAAGCTGAAAAGGAGGAATCATCGGTTGAGCACGAGAACGAGTTGCCTCTAGAAGCACTAAGCGATGATAACGACGAAAAGCCGAACCATCCCGAGCCAATATCTGGTCCTAGTGTCACCTCTAGACTCTTTGGGGATATGGTGTCATTATCCCATGATGAAGACAACAGACATGTCGCCGAGGCAGTACCGAAGGAGGATCAGGTTTTCGATACAATCCCGATGTCCGAAGCAAAGCCTAGTGATGACCAGACTCTTGATTTCGCAGCTGGAGATACTGACTTGGATTTCTTGGAGTCAACGGATTTCGTTTTTGGTGAAGATACGGCCGATGATGTGGGAGCGAACGAACCAGTTTCCCTATCACACGACTGCTCTAGGGACGATTTGGAAATTAGGAACCATACCTTTGATTCAGATCCTGTGCATCTTACCACTACAACAGATATCACGATGGATATTCAGATGAACGAAATCGATAGCAATCACAACACCAAAAAAACGCCATGGGAGGTCAACTCTACCGAAGATAACGAACACTCTAACATCGTCGATAATTCAGCAGCTAGCGCAAGTGATGAACTTGATGCAGCGATTGCATCGGTAGAATCGTATGAGGATGAAAGATATGATTACACCACGTTTGATCATGCAGAAGACGAAGCTACTGATGTACCAGCTCAAGTTGAAGAACCAATCGACTCATCAACAACTCAAAACGAGGACTTTGGCTGTCTTGCCACGTCGACGAAAGTCAGCACTGACACTACAGAGGCAGATTCATTTGAGCAAGAAATTAATGCTGTTTCAGGAGACGAAGCTGACGACGTAGCTTTTGAAGAACAAGCTGGGGCAGACCAAGGCTACGATTGGTCTAACACTGAGGTCAACGAATCAACTTTTGAAGAGGGAACTAAATCCGCCCAGGAAGTTAACGATGAAGTAACCTTTAGGACTGAGGCAACCTACGAGAGTGGAGATGCCGCGGAAAACGTCGGCCAGATCGATGAAAACGTCAGTTATACGGGTGAAGGTGAAGTAGCGATTGAGGAGACTGAAGCAGCAGAAGGTCAGCTCGAGATCGGAGATGGAGTCGACGCGGACGACGAAGAGGCTGAATTGTTTGGCGACTGGGAAAAAGGCTTCGATCCCATTTCTAACCATTACTTCTGGTTTAACCACAACACTGGAGAAAGCTCGTGGACTCCGCCGGAGGGGTGGCCGTACGAAGTCGACGAACCGTTCAGTGCTGAAGACGAAACTGGCGGGGAGGTAGAGCAGCAAGAGCAAGGGTATGGGTACGAAGAGGGAGCTACAGAAGCCCATGAGTACGGACAAACCACTGCTGAAGATGAAGCCTATGGCAAAGGCGCGACGGACGGCCACTACTACGAAGAGGAGGCAACAGAAGCTCAGGAGTACGCCACTGAAGGTCAGGGATACGACGAAGGTGTGGCAGGGGACCAGTATTACGAAGGAGCGGATCTCCAAACCGGTGAGAATGATCAGCATTACGAGGAGGCTACTGAAGCAGCTCAACACTATGAAGAGGGACAGTATGATAAAGAACTCGCAGCCGATGACCAAGTGTACGACGAGCAGGTTTATGAAGAGGGTCCTACTGAAGAACAAGAGAATACCAGTGATGATACGTGGCACGACGAAACTGCAGACGTAGAGCAGGTAGAGCAGGAAAAACGGGATGACACGGAGTCTCCAAGACACAGCGAAGTGTCCGACTTTGAGTTTGATGATAGTGATTTGCCAGATTTCTGACTGAATCACGACAAAAGGTGCTTGTGGGTTAACTACTTATCTGCTATTTTTCAATCGATTTAACCTACGATGCACCGGCACCGTAGAGTTGAGGTTTGCTCAGAATTTGTAGCTGCGTGCGTTCTGTCTCTCGTGCTGCATCTTGCCGCTGCTTGGGCGTCACCATGCGTCGCGAGCCGGTCATGCACTTTTCCAAGTGGTTCGTGTATCTGGACGCATGCACCTGTAAATGCCACAGTTGATGATATTAAATACATCGACACTTACGAGAGGACAGCTACATGTACATACTTGTCGCTTGCAATACAGGCAGCTCACAAAGACGCTGTCCTGCTCCACAACAGGTGTGTCAACTGTGCATTCAATGGGTTCCACGTCGTAGAGCTCCTCAAGGCTCACTCCATCCACCGAGATCTGGCGGTGCATCTGAAGCAGCAGCGGCAGAGAATGCCTAAGCGTGAGAAGCTACAGCGTAGCTTTTAATCTGCAGGATAGCGCACCTCGAAACACACGTCCAGAGCGACATCGTCGAGCAAGAAGCGATAAATCTGCTCCTCCATGTTTAAATCTGATAACACCTGAGCGTTTCTGATATTTTCTGATTCTGTATAGCTTACATTTTTTGTTATTCGCTGGAAGAGACGAAGCAGGCTGTGACCATGATCGAGGTGATCCTGAACGACCGCTTAGGAAAGAAAATCCGTGTCAAGTGCAACGAGGACGACACAGTGGGGGACCTTAAGAAGCTCGTGGCAGCGCAGGTGGGCACAAGACCTGAGAAGATCCGTATCCAGAAGTGGTACACCATCTACAAGGACCACATTACGCTCGAGGACTACGAAATTCACGATGGCATGGGCTTAGAACTCTACTACACTTAAGCTGCAAATTTCGGGTTTATGTTGCAGAGCAACCAATTCAACACGTGTGTGACCTACCCAATTAACTTACAACCTTTTCTTCTTCTCGAGTCCTAGCATGACGCTCTACCTCCTAGCGACTTACGTCTAATGGCGGTGCTGATGCAACACTGATGGATCCACCGTTCAGAAGCAATAAGAATTTATTTTGCGGCACGCAGCAGTCCAGCACAAGTCCAGTCACGTTGAACCTGCTGTTGTTGTGGGACCCGTGAGTGACTTTCGCAGCTACAACGTCTTTGACACTCTACTACTTGAAATATCAGTCTCGTTCTTCCCTGAAATTGTACCTGTCAGTATTCTCATCGTGGTGACCAGGCTTGGCATTGTAGCTGCATCAATGACGCCTGCACGAGATTCGCGCAACAGGAAACTGTAAGTTTCGTTGCCATAGCTCAAAGAAAATCGTTGAATCTATATATTGTCCAATCACCGGTCGGATCCTTTAAATATCAGCCAACCATCGCTCAATTATTTTAACCGAGGCGACTCTACGATCTGCGTGGTTGTTTTTCGCAGTACCCCGACGCCAGTACAGTGAGTGCGGAACTCAGGCAGCAGACACCTCGAGTCTCGCACGGCAGGAAGGCAGGTCAGGCAGCGCATGCCGCCGACGCTTTCTCCCCTAAGCTCAGCGAGACAATCAGCGCACTAGGTTAGCTGTGTTTGAGGGGATGAGTGGCCTTGGCGAGAGACTTACGTGTGTGTTACCAACCGCTGTGACAGATCTCGTAAGCTAAAACAACCGAAGCGACTGGGTCCTCGAAGTAGGGAGACTCTTATTAAGGAAAAAGGAAGGAATTGACGGCGGCCGCAGCCCGCACACACCAGCGCCAGGATTTTGTGCTTCGCCCATTCCAAGCGCAACGGCATGGAGGTGCCGCACACGTTCGTGCGCACCGTCAAGGCGCAAGATCTTCGCTTCAGCCAGGTGGACAGCGTGTTGCACGACATCAAGACCAAAAACTCGCCCACATGGGTCATTTTCTCCTTTGCGGTACGCCTTCTTTGTCTTTGGCTTCACTTGGCGTGCTACATCTCATGTGAGCCAATACAGGACCAGCGGGAGATGAGAAATACACTCAAAGTGCTTGCGTCTGGAGATGGCAGTATCTCGGATCAGTCCAAGTGGCCATCCGAGCTTTTCTCGCCCAACGCTCTGTGCTACGGACTCACGAGCATCGACTGTTATGACGAGAATGCGGCACCGACCAACGTGTTGTCGTTCTGCTGGAAAGGACGCAACCTCCCGATCTACCTACGAACCAAATATGCAGAGTTTAATCAAGTCATTAGGGTGAGTGTGCAATTGGACAAATTGCTGCGTGGAAATGGAGATTGAGCTGATTTTTATTGACTGCAGAAACACATGGGTGCTGTTGCGCATGTGACGCTACACAACCCAGAGGAACTCATGTACGTATCTCGTCAGCAATGCAAGCGTGAGTACAGGCTTTAGTCTGAATTTTGCTATTGTTTTGCAGGGATGGATCGGTGTTTCTACAGACCCCGCGGCGGCGGCCACGGAGCTCTTCTCGGCGGTTTGTTACGACCGATATTGAGTTCACGCCCGAGTTGACGGCAACAGTACTGGATATTCGATCGGATACGTCTCCGTTCAACTGGGCGGTATGTGGTTATGATAACTCGGACATTGAGAGTTCGACCCGGAGGATGATTGTTGTGGAGAAGGGCATGGTACGTCGGTTTGCATTAAACGTTAATGAGGAAAGGGACGCATCTGACGTTTAGTTTTATTGGGGGCCAGACTGGACTGTATGCTTTAAAAGGAATTGGCGGTATTACGTCCGTTCTGGAGGAAGGAAGCACGATGTACATTTACTTGCGAGTGGATGTCCCACTGCATCGTGGAACTGAGCGTATTGTGTCGAAATATGTCCTGGTCACATGGCAAGGTGTGGAAAGGAGCTACAGTGGAGGAGGGACGTCCGACGATGAAGTTGAATTATGGTTTGGGCCAAGCTCGAATGGAGAGCGATCGCCTCAGCGCCGAGATTCGTTTGCGTCAAGCTCCAAGCTTCAGCGTGCTGTGACTGCACATGTTCACGGCAGCGAAATCTACCGTGTGTTCCCGCATCACGTACGCTTACTGGCCGTTTTATTTTTTTATCAGGAAGCAGGCAATAAAGAACCTCACAATCTGCTATGCTTGCAGGTCCACTTTTTTGCCAGCACTCAGTCGGAGATATCGGAAGAAGCGATTCGCGAGCGTATCAGACGGGCAGTGGACAATGACTGTATGCTGCTCCGAGTTGTACGTGTTTCGACCACCTATTTCCATCTTGATGTTGCTATACCTAAACTGCTTCACTGTTGTAGGTCTGCGTTCAAGCTTCAGGTGATACTCAAGCGCCGGTATGTTTGGAAGTCCCATTTGATGCCACAGTCGGCGTGCTTCGACAGGAGATCGCTTCGAACATTGGAATTCCCAAAGATCGTCAACGCATTGTATGGATTCGACAAACGGACGATCTTGCAAAAGGTTCGTGTTAGTATTATTATCTCGCGCTGCTATGTAAATTTTGACGTTAATGCTGCGCTTGCGAAGACTCTCAACTGTCGACGGCATTAATGCTGGAGGACGAAAATGCAGGCATCCGAAAGGACATAGGCCTCGCTCATGGTGACAAAATCCACGTTGATGACAAGGACAATGGCGAGAATTCCGTACTCGCGAAGCTGTTTGAGCAGGTGCGGCTCTATTGCGGGGTACACTTGTGTGCGCATGTACTTAAGTATCCTGTTTCATGTCGCCATTGTAGATCAACTCTGGTGCAGCAGCAGTAAGTCTCTCGGCCGAACGACGACATGAAGTGCAGCGAGGCGTGGAAGCTCGAGAAGCAGAGCTGAGGAAGATACTGTCTATGACGCACTATTTAATTCGACGGAAGGCCAATGAAGACCTGAAACCTATCCCGCGTCTCGCTGGCGTGGTTGAAGAAGCTGTAACCCGAGAAAAGAAGCAAACAGATTCTCCGTCCCCTACAAGTCAGCACAAGGTTATCCATCGGGCGGACTCGGCTGTCTCGTTGACGGGTTCAATTTCAGAAGAGCTAGCAAAGGAAGACGTCTCGGCATTGCAGGAGCACGCGCGCGTTCTGGAGTCGCAGAACCAGTACCTGGAGATTCCGTATGAGAGCATTCACATCCTTAGTGGCAAGGAGAACGAACTGGGTTGTGGAAAGGCAGCTACTGTGTTCCGTGGACTCTGGATGAACCGTAACAGCGCGGCTGAGGTGGCTGTAAAGTCGTTCCGCTATGCACGATTGACCGACAAGATCCTCGGTGATTACAGACAAGAAGTGGCGTTACTCAGGAAACTGAAGCACCCCAACATTGTGTTATTTATCGGAGCATGCACGGATCCGAAGTTGATGATTCTTACCGAGTATTGCTCTCGCAAAAGGTGCGTTGGCGAAGTTTTATTTACTGCGTCTGTTTAAAATTAACATTTTTTTCTCTCCAGTTTATTCGAGGTGATCCACAGCAACAACTTCGAGACGATTCCCTGGAAGGTACGAGTTTTTTGTGCTATGTATATGCCTCATGCATAACCTAACTCGTGTCTCCTGCTCGTATAGTTCAAAGTACGAATGATGCTTGATGCAGCACGAGGCATCCAATACCTCCACTCCAAGCGTATTATTCATCGCGATATCAAGGTACATTTGTTTTTGTATTTATCAATGCAGTACGAAGGGCTGACACATTTATTCCTTGTGCAGTCTCACAATTTCTTGGTGGACGATGACTGGCGAGTCAAGGTGGCCGATTTCGGTATCAGCAAGGTGCTCGATACCGACACTGCCTTTACGCAATGCGGTACAACAGGATGGCAAGTGAAAGATCGATTTTTAGTGCTGTGTAGCATTCTCTTCTCATCTGTATTGCCTTGTGCAGGGTTGCTCCTGAAGTTCTGTTGGATGAAGACTTGGGCTACACATTCAAGGCCGACAACTGGAGGTATGTCTTCCTACTCCTTTTCTCATACCAACCTCTCTATCTAACTGTTCGTGCGTAGTTTTGCCATTGTGATGTGGGAAATGGTCGCTGGTGGTCTCCAGAACCCGTTCATCGGGATGGCCCCCATCAAGTTCTATAACAAGACAATCAACGCCGGCATCCGGCCTCCAATTCCCGAGGGCATGGACAGCGAGTACATCAATCTCATCACCGAATGCTGGAAATCCGACGCGGCCGACCGACCTTCCTTCGATGTGATCGTGTCTCGACTGGAGCAGATGCTGCTGGATCTAGGCGCCAGCATCGACCTCCCGCCCACGTTCCAAGGTGGCTACCACCAGGCAGGACTCGCGGTGAATCCGTAATTGTTGTGATAGTAAGCCACCCACACCACGTACTGCTTGGTAATTTTTGAGAGACGAGTCGTACGAAGACCTGTCCTCGATCGTATTATAGCAAGCTGATAGAGAAACAATAACGAATCCTATCGACGAGGCAGAGAACGTTAAGATAATAACCTACTACAGTGTTCCGTGCATCGCTACGCTGCTTATCTTGCATAACGATTGGCTGAAAACAAGGAAAGTATGGAGACGCTGTACGCGCTGGCGGTGGAGCTCGTGGCGTGCTTCGGCTTCATGTGTCTCTTGTTCAACGTTCTGCTGCCTGTGCTGGCCTTCGTCTTGCGCCTTGTGGCTGTTGATGTGCCTCGCGAGTGGCGCAAATGGCAGCTACATCGAGCCCAACAGCACGAACTGCGGCGTCTCCAGCACCGCGTCGACGTGTTGACACACAGGAAGCAAACGGTGAGGACGCAATCTACGCCTTTAAACCAAGAGAGACTAATAGCAAAGAGTGCCATTCAGGAGGAACAAGAGACTCGGCGGCGTGCGAGGAAATCAAGCGCCAAAAAGCGGCAGCAGGTGGACGAAACGCCCCAGAGGGACGTACAAGGCAACGGGAACAATGGAAGTAGCTCCAAGCGGGAGATTGACTCGAGTCCTCGACAGCAACATCGTCGTCTTAGTATCCACTCAACAGCCAAGACACAACCAGCGACTGGTGCTCGAGAACGCTTGCGGACGAGGTGGGGGCTCTTGTCGTAATATTGCTTTGATGGCTTCAAGAAGATAATGGCCGTGTGGGTTGACAAACAGGGAACTAGAAGAGTTGTAACAGGGCTATCTACGCTGGTATTTATGAAATCACGCGACTTAATAGGAGCAGGATCATCTTAGTATTAAAATCTTTCATTTTTGGTAAACCAATGGCTGGGAGATCGTGTGACGCTGTTCTTGTGCTCATGAGCGGACTTCCTGGCGCTGGGAAAACGACGCTGGTAAAGCATCTAGTGGCCAGTAGCACTACTCTGTCAAGGCTGTATGAGCGGATCTCCTTCGACGATCTCTACGAGCAAATGGCTACAAGCACTGTCGAGTTCGATCCTGACCAGTGGAAGTACTGTCAGCAAGAAATGATGGTGCAAGTTTCCAGACGTATAAAGGAACTCCTCAAGATACCAGTCGGGGACACTGGGAGTGCGTCTCAACTGGTGCTGCTTGTTGATGACAATTTCCAGTATCGCAGTCAGCGCAAGCGCTTCTATCAACTCGCCGTAGAGCGTAAGAAAGTTTTCCCAGCCAGTTTATACTGTTATTAACATGTTATTCGTGATGCTTAGAGACCTGCGGCTTCGCTATTCTCTTTGTGAACACCCCTACAGAAATTTGTCGCGAGCGAAATGCTGGTCGGAACAAAAAAACACGAGTTCCTGATGAGGTTTTTCAGCGGACGGAGGCTGCTTTCGAGCCCCCGAATGGAGATCAAAACTTGTGGGAAGTAAACACCTGTGAGTTCGATGGAATGGGTGATATCTCTGATGCCAAGGAGTTGGTGAACACATTGATACAGCAAGCTGAAAATAAATTCAACGAGCGGCGCTTGGTTCACCTTGAAAAGAAAATGGAAGAAGCGCAGCAGGTAATACGCAACATTGATTCTTTGTCAGTAAGTCAGCACCTTATTGTCAGCTGTGTACCTTACATGTAGCGCATCGATCGCTTGGCAACGCAGCACAGTGTACTTCACCGTGTTGACCTGAAGCTACGCCAATGGATATCAGCACAGCTCCAGGACGAGAAAGTGCTTTCGCATGGTACACCGAAGGCACAGTTGGCGTCCCAACTAAACCAGCGCCGGAAGAAGTTTCTAGCATCCATGAAGCGATCGCCCTGTGAATTTTCAGATCTTTTTCCAAGTGAAGACATCGAGCAAGTGGTGGTTTCGTTAGTTCTTCGATTTCAGCAGCAACAAGAATAACTTAGTGTCGAGGTCATTGTGAAACCACTTTACCCTTTTCTCAGCGAGTGACACTTCATTTTTGGTAGCGCGCTGGACTTGGAACTCTGTCGGCCAGATGGCCAAAGTGGTTGATTCACCTCGTTTCCGGATTGATTCCGAAAGCGAAGATGAAGTTGACATCGAGCTTGGAACACCGCGTGATACAGTAGTAGAAAGCTCAGATGACCAAACCTCGGAGCACGATACAGCGGCCCTTCTCGATACTGATCGAAGAAGAAGACAAGTAAAAAAAGCTTCTCTGACCGTGCTCTTCCTTTTGCTTGTGGGGGTAAGCATCGGACTGGCTGCTCGTTTTTCGCGAGATCATTCCAGTTCAAAAACTATTGACACTGGCGATGGTACTTCAGTCGACATTGACAGTCTAGAAACTATTGGAGGTGAAGAAGTCCAAAACGGACATGTGGTGCCCTTCTTTGATGTGCAGTTCTACCCGGGTGAGAGAGCTATCTTCGTCATCAGCAAAGAGCACTGGAATTCTTCATTTATTGTGTATCCGACTGTTGTGAAGCGTGCTGCTCCTGTGATTACTGGCGTAGAAAGAGGTGGCATCTTGCTGGAAACCAACGATTTCGTTTTCCACTTCGAGTTCTCTGCTGACGGGCGGCATTTGCAGCTTGTACAGGAATACCATTACGCTAGTCTGCACGGAGACAAAGCCGATGAACTCCAGCAAATATTTGACGATAGTCAGTGGCCAGGATTCAATACTAAAGTGCCTATTTACGCGGAGACGGACGACGCGTATTACATTCCGTCAGATCTATTCCTCTCGAACGGATTCTTCGTGTCGTCTGTCTTGGCTTCGTCTGATTTCACGGCGCTCGATGGCCCGTCAGAGTCTTTTGCTCGCAACACAATGCTCTTTGTCGAGTATGAGCTTCCCTCTGGAGTCATGGAGGTCAACTATGCCATTGGTTTATTACCAGACGAGATCATGCCGCAGCGAGTGGCAGATGATCGAGTGGGTTATTTTTCCAAACGATACAGTCAGTACAGTCTGACTGATCAAGAGATCAGCGACGGCAATGGCTACCATCGATGGGATCCTCAGATGACCGTCATTCATCGTCGAAAACTCGAGCTGGACAGCTCTGGAAAAACGACGAAAAACCCAATCACGTACTATATCGATCCATCCGTACCGAAGGAATGGAGAGAAGCCTTTGCTACTGGTGTGAAAGCCTGGAACCCTGCTTTTGAGAGAATTGGTTTCCCGAATGCAATTCGTGCAGTGCTTCCAGGAGACAGCGACTGGCCGAGTGATTACCGGCTTGGAGATCTTCGGTACAACAGCATCTCGGTTATGATATCGGAGCAGACTTACGCTTACGGCCCTTCTATTACTGACCCGCGATCTGGGGAGATCTTGCACAGCGATATTGTCTTCGAATATGGGTTTTTCAATGAAGTGATGTTCAGTTTCGACATGAAATCACTAGTAGACCCACCACGAGCCCGAAGTGAACATAGTAACGGAGACAACGCAAAAGTATTGAAAGCAAACGCGCAGTTCCAACACACTCGCACAGGTCAAAGTCGGTCTTGTGGACTCGCTCATGAAGACCAGCACAAAGCTGATTGGATGATGCTGAGCTCAGTCACTGGAGATGAACAGGGCTTCGTTCCTAAAAGACTTGTCGCCCAACACTTTGCTGATATTGTCATGCACGAAGTGGGCCACACTCTCGGTTTACGTCACAACTTTGCCGGCTCATCAGCTTATTTACGTGACCAGCTACGAGACCCTGCATTCGTTGCCGAACACGGATTATCGACATCGATCATGGATTATTTGCCGGTGAATATCTTCTCGGATCTGACTAAGGACGAAGCGAAAAATCATGGTTTCTTTATGACTACAATCGGAGCTTACGACTATGCTGCAATCGCCTACGGCTACTCAATTATTTCTGACGAGACCCCTGGCTACAAACATCCTCGTTTGTCTGAACTGGCAGCAAATGCACCACTGTTTCTTACTGATGAAACTGTGGACTACATGCTGAACCCTTATGCTCAGCGCTTCGACTTGTCTTCCGACCCAGTGGACTACGCAGCTGATCGTCTTAAGTTCGTCCAAAACGCGCGAAGTTCTAACGCTGCGCTTAATAAAATACCAGATGACGCCTCGTGGACCACTCTATGGCAGCGCGAAATTGTATACCTGCGACTACTGGAGCAAGCCATTGACATCGTTCGACCGGTTCTTGGAGGAGTGAACATCACTCATGCACACCGTGGTAAGGATGGAGGCGCTTACAATGCTACATTCGTGTCCAAAGAAACTCAACTTCAGGCTCTTAAGGTGCTTCTGCGCATAGTAGAAGCGGAAAAGGGGCTATTCCCTGAGCCGAAAGACTACAACTCCTTCGTGGAGGTAGTTGGCTATGATGACGAGGACTGTAACGAGTCAACTCTGGATTATGCTTGTCTTGGACGAGGACTAGTGGATGTTGGCGCCTACGTTCTTCGCGTCCGAGCACGAGCTTTAATATCTGCGTTATTCCCCGCTATGGAGCGAATAGTACAGCAAGATGTTCAGAGTCCTTTGGCACTGGATGAGCTGCTGACAGAAGTTGTCAAAGCCATGAATGCCGCCTCATTTAGTTTTACACTGAAGGACTTTATGAACGAACTCCTAGCTGAAATCATCAGCAGCCACGACACCGACGCTCGTGTCAAGAGGGCAATCGAGGAAAAGTGGAATATGACTCTACCTCCTGTTGTCGTAGTCCAAGCTGAAGAAGGAAACGATAAACCCATTGGTCATTAAGAAGTTGAAGTGCTTAATATTGTAACCGAATTATTGTAAACCGAATAGCAAATGTTATGATAGGGTCTTTTAACGTCACTTTTGTGTTTTCGTGCGGCTGGTATGCTGCTGCTCTCTCGTCTGCGCGCCCGCGTGCCGCTGCGGCCGTCAGCTTTGATTTTGCGAAGCTGCTCTTCCCACGCTGTTGAACCAGACAAAGCCAAGTCAGCTGTGCGTGTTCGCTACGCTCCGAGCCCCACCGGTTACTTGCATCTGGGCGGTCTGCGCACTGCGCTCTTTAATTATCTGTTCGCCAAGAGCTCCGGAGGACAGTTTATCCTGCGTATTGAGGATACGGATAAAGTATGAGCGAGTATATTGCTTTATTGCTATTTTAACGGCATCCCACGTACTCACAACGTGGCTATTGCGTACAGACGCGTCAAGTTGAAGGATCGGTGGAGGCGCTTGTGAACAGCCTCAAGTGGTGTGGCGTAGAGGAGGACGAGGGTGAGTGGACAAGGGCATGATGCAAGTACTGAAAGGTTGCTAATAGTAGTGAGGTGTGCTGTGTGTTAGGTCCAAACGCTGGTGGCCCGCACGGTCCGTACATTCAGTCGCAGCGACTTTCGATTTACAAAGAGGCAGCCGAGAAACTTATTGAGGTGGGAAAGAAAAAGTTGGAAATATTGTAGGAATGCACTAATTACTGTCTTAAATGTAGAATGGCCACGCCTATCGATGCTTCTGTACGAGTAAGCGTCTGCAAAAGCTGCGTGAATCCCAGACGCGTCATGGCGAGGCGACAATGTACGACCGTGCGTGTCTCGGTCTCGATGAGAAGGAGGTGGAAGCGCGAGTGGCTCGTGGAGAATCACACACGATTCGGCTGAAAATTCCTGATGGCAAGACGGTTGTGAAAGATCTGTTGCGAGGATACGTGCAGTTCGAGCACGCCGGTATTGACGACCAGGTTCTCATGAAGAGCGACGGCTATCCGACATATCACCTTGCCAACGTGGTGGACGACCATGCCATGCGCATTTCTCATGTTATCCGTGGTGAAGAATGGCTGCCATCGACGCCGAAGCACGTTATCTTGTATAAGGCCCTGGGGTATGAGGCTCCAACTGTAAGTGGTAGCTACTTGTTGGTTAGGAAGAAACTTACTGATTGTGTTTGATGTGGCTCCAGTGGGCGCACTTGGGTCTTCTACTAAATGAAGACCGCTCGAAGCTGTCAAAGCGTCAGGGAGACGTCGCCGTTGAGGATTTCAGGGTTTGTCGTATCATTGTCGCATCCACGCAGCAGAATCCAATTATTGACATCGTCTCAACTTTTATTGTACAGGACAAGGGATTTATCCCAAGTGGCCTTGTAAATTTTGTTGCTCTTTTGGGCTGGAACCCCGCTGGCGGCAACAACCAAGAGATTTTCCAGATGAACGAGCTGGAGAAACACGTACGCAACGCTATGAGTTCAATTTGCTCTTATTGAATGTTGACGCTCATGTTATCTTTGCTTTAAGTTTTCTATCGATCACGTGAACAAAGCGGGGTCAGTTGTCAACGTCGATCGTCTCCGCTGGATTAACTCTCGTCACGTGCGCGCGCTGTTTGCCGAGGAAACCACAACTGACGAGCACAAGTTAGCTGTCGTGAACGATGTGGTGTCGATGTGTTCATCGTCTTTTGAAGAAGTAGGCGTATCCTCCACTCCATCTGACCTAGTCGAGAAGTTCGGTGTAAATTACGTGTGGCGAGCGATGGATCTGATGAAGGTAAAGCTTTCCCTAAAGTGCATTCAATACGGACAATTCGTGCTCATGCTTCGTCTTTATTTCCAGGAACGCGTGAGTGCATTACCTGAATTCGGTCCCCTCTGTGTCCCGTTCTTCACTGAGCCCGATCTCAGTTCGTCGGTCGCACGAGAAATGAAGGCCAAGTATATCGATGAGAGCACACCCGAGCTTGTAGCGGATGTCAGTGCAAACCTGCGCAATCTTTCGGATGAAGAGTTTACACCAGTGCGTCATGTTTTGTTCCCGCTATTGATCTGCATCAACTAATCACGTGAATGTTGCCACTCTGCAGGATCATATCACGAAGAGTATCAAGGTTGTTGCAAAAAGCCGAAAGTTGGGGCTGAAGAAGTGAGTTGCAAGGATAATCTACCATGTTCTACTGGATTGTAGTCTCTAACTGTGGTTGTTGTGGAATTATGTACAGGGTGCTGATGCCTATTCGCTACTACTTGACGGGCATGGATGTCGGTGCTGGACTTGGTGATACGATTGAGCTGCTAGGCCGTGACACTGTGCTACGACGTTTAAAACTCGAGTAAACTCGTCTCAATAGAGAGAAAGCCAAAGTTCATCGTGGACAAGATAGCGAAAGGAGGTCGACAACTTTGGCATTGGTACAAAATGTTATTCATGTCGAAGAGAAACGGAATATAGAGGGCCTTGGTCATCAGCTCAGTGCTTCTTCCCCTTGCCAGGTACTTTGCGTACAACCTTAACGGTCTTTGCCGCACTCGCCTTTCGGTTCTTAGCGCGCTTCACCACTTTTGCCGCTGCAGAAGTTTTCTTCGCAAGAGCCTGCGACAGCTTTCCCGGAAGTAAAACCTTCGTAGCAGCCTTTTGTCGCTTCTGGGAGTTCTTCGATCCTGTGATTGTAATGCTTAGCTTGGCCTTTTTGTTATTCGTCCGCATCACCTGTCGAACATGAACTAGTGGCTTCGCTTGCGCCTTGAGCTGTTTCGTGGGAGCCTGCAGCTTCTTGCTGTTCTTCGGCTGCACCACACGCACGGGAGATGATACTTTTCTCGTCAGTTGAGGTGCGTTCTTCTTCTTCGATAGATGTGCGGTGTTGCTCTTGTTGGTGCCTTTCGAAGCAACGAGGCGGTCAGAAGAAGAGTTATTGACTTTCTCCGCTCGCATCTGCCGACGTAGCTTCGCCGTGGTGGCAGCAATGCTCGTCTTGGTTCTGGACTGGGTCGTCTTGTCCTTGGCAGTCGCAGACAGAGTAGGCAAGCCACGGTTCTTGTTCACCAGGGCCTTACGCTGGGCCTTTTGGCCGATCTTTACGGTCGAAACCTTCTTCGACTGTTGTTGCTGCGGCTTCTGTTGCTTAGCCATTTTTCTCTTGTCAGCGGGTTGAGGCTTCTGTTTGCTCTTCTTCGCATCATCCTGCTTCTTCAGCAGTTTGTGCTCCTTCCTGCGCTCCTTGATGAGAGCATCTAAAGGCAGATAACACCGCAGTCAGCACCGTGAAGACGATAGTCTCAATAGTACTGAACGTACCAAGAGACAGGTCCAGTCGTCCTTCCAGATCTACACCGCGCGGACTCAAATCGGAGGCTAACGGGTGGACGTGGCTAGGGATAGCGATGGGGGCAGTGGAGGTTGCCATGGTAGCAGGGTGTTCGACGGCGAGCAGGTCTCAGAGTGATCGGGCCCTTGCACCTCTTGGACGTCATTCCCGACAAGATTCGAAAGGGCACAATCTCAATTACAGCCAATCATGCTTCCGCTGAATAATTCTATTACCCAATAGAAACACAGAAAATCCGTGGAAAGATCTCGTTCATCTTTTTCGAAACGAATACAGTTGTCAACAACCATTGGGAATTCTAATGATATTGCTATCCCTACGGCTGCCCTATGGAGCCGTCAAGGAACTCGAGGTGCGTAGCCGTGGGCTCAAGCTGCCAGTCCTCACGGATATGCTGCTCGTTCCAGAACTTGGTGAGGTGGCGCTGTCCCGAGTCGCACAGGACCGTCACAATGGTGTGGCCAGGACCGAGCTTCCGCGCGGCACGAACGGCAGCAGCACAGTTGAGTCCACTTGAACTACCCACGAAGATGCCTTCCTCACGTAGCAGGAAACGGGACATTTCGACGATCTCTTGATCGGTCACCTTGAAGGCGTCGTCGACCTTAGCCAGCATGAAGTTCTCCGTCAAGCGGTCGATGCCCACACCCTCTGCGATGGTATCGTATCTACGGTTGGCGGACAAGAGAGAGCATGAGCAAAACTTATTAGCATAGGGCAGTACTGTATCGAAAGATATTAACTGCTCTTACCTATGTCGCCGCACCTTGGTCTCAGCCTGCTGGGGAGCGTAGCACACGTTGCTTCGAACCTAATAGGAGCATCGGCAAGCACGATCATTAAAAAAGTTTAAGCTTTCGTGCCAACGCAGAAGAGCTACCTTGTTGTACAGACTGGATCCTGGTGGGTCAGCAAGAAACACCTGGACGTTTGGGTTCTGCTCCTTCAAGTACGCCGACGTTCCAGCGATGGTGCCTCCGGTGCCTTCAACCCAAACGCAACACAATGCATGAGTAACTCACAGCGATATTGTACAAGCCGAGCAACAGCAACCTACCTGCAGCCATCACGAAAGCGTCCACACTTCCATTAGTCTGGCGCCAAATCTCAGGGCCAGTCGTGGCATAGTGACTGTCAAAATTGGCCGTGTTTTCAAATTGATCGGTGAAGTATCCTCCTAGATATTACGTTTTAAGCAAGTAAGTCAGCGTTGTAGTGCTCATCCATAAAATGCAGGGACTACTGCTCACCTTCAGTGTTACGTGCCAGACGCTTGGCCTCATTCACATAGTGCTTAGCGTTCACGATCGACGCCGGCTTTACCAACACGACTTCAGCACCAAACTGCTCCAGCAATTGACTCTTTTCCTTTGCTTGATCGTCGGGCATCACAATAACGCAGCGGTATCCCCGGGCTATCGACAATGACGACAACGTTAGCAACATGCCGCTGTTGACATGGCTAGCTTCAAGACACCAGACAACCAACCTCGAGCCATTAGTGACAGACTGATACCCGTACTGCCAGAGGTGCCCTCAATAATAGTCCCTCCTTCTTTGAGAAGACCTCGACGCTCAGCATCTTCCACGATTCCCTTTGCTACTCGATCCTTAGAGCTCCCACCTGGATTCAAGAGCTCCGCTTTCGCCTTTTCGACAACAAAAGTGTCAGCCGCACATCGTAGCATCATTTAATCCACTTGATAGTACCAGAATCTTGCATCCCGTGGCCTTGGACAGACTGGTAAGCTCTATAAGCGGTGTGTTGCCCACCAAGCCCGAAAATCCGGCCAGGTACTTCTGTTTCTTGGACTTTTTGCCGCCACGAGATGCATTGCCGCTCGCTGCAAGCTCCACAATCTTCCACAGCGACAGCGATGCCATGGTCATGCATAAGCTCCATCGCCAGAGCGACACGCTCCAGTGTCCGCCGCTCTCCATTGTTACAGAAATTGAATTGTGACGCACTCAACTGACACCATAGATTATCGTCCAACCAAAACCTTTATCGCATTTCGTCACTACCTTTTCAGCCAACCAGAAAGCTTCAACTTTAGCGAACTGATTCCGACAGTTTGGCGATTGCCGTCTGCAGTCCACTACATAGCGTCACGTCCAACCCGAGCGCCGCCGCCTCCCTATTCATCCGTCCAGCTAGAATCAGCATCATTTGACTAGCCACACTATGCAACAATATAAGCTACGTACCGTTGGATCTTTTGGAGGTCGAGCAGCAACTGCATTCGCATCTTCTCCGTGTCGGAAACAGCGTTGTTGGTTAGGGTGGAGCTGGATCCAGAGTGTCGCTGCAGCTTTCGGCTCTTAAGCGATTCTTCGAGCTCCAATGCCGACCTCAGTAGCTCCGACGACAGGCTGGAGTACACATCGCAGACATCTTCCACAATGGCCTGCAACAGTTGCTGTCGTTTGGCTGCATCGAAGTGAACGCCCCACTTCTCCAAGAATTCCTGCATTGGTCTAAGTGTGACATAGCGATTAGTTGAGCGAACAATATGCTACGAGATAAAAGCTGCTGTACCGAATGATGTTGGACACGTAGGTCGACGGGGCCGTTGGAGGAGGCTTGTTTGTCATCTGATACTGACCCTTCACAGTGCTGCAGCAAATAACAAGGTTAACGATGGCTTTATGGCCCACTCAGCTGACTAGTTGGAGCGTACCGGATAGCAGGCAGAACCTTTTTACAGCCTGCAGCTACCATCGTCACTGCTGTAGACCAGCAACTAGCCTCCAGCTCAGCCAATGATGCAAGCGGCTACAACAAAAAACAAGTCATTAAAACCTTGATCTAGGCAAATTATAGCGATTCTCACACCAGATCAACCAACCTCTTGGAACAATTCAGTCACGAAAACTTCACTGTCGTCCGTGAAGCCATCAACGTGAGTCTTAACGATAGCGAGGAGATCTTGAGAAATCTGTTTGAGATGACGAGCAGCAGCACAATTAGCCACCAACTACTCTAGCTAAATCAACGTTGGCAGCACTTACCTTCTTGAACAGGACGTGAAAATCGCTTCCAGCAAACAGTAAATCTTCGTCGGTAGTGAGAAAATAAAGCGGCACCGTGGCAAAATCCACCTTGTTCCCGGTATTTATCATCGCCACAGTATTCAACAGCGGTTCTTTCCAAATGTCAATATAATACGTGAAAAGCTGGACGCAAAGCTTGCAGAAATTGGGAAGCAGTGGTGCCAGGAAGATTCGCTCGCTCCAGCAGTCTTGCGATACCTGCCACAGGCGTTTCGAGTTCTCGAAAACTAACGCTGACGTGTCAACTGAGTTGGCTGTCCTGTTTAGCGAGTCTGGTGTTGCTGGTTCGTCACGTTTGACACCGAAAGACTTCTCTAAGCTCGACGCCAATTGCGACGCTCGCAGCTGGAAGTACACGTCGATATTCCACTTCTCCTTGAACTCCACTACGCTCTCGTGTGCTCGGAATCGGATCTTCATGATCTCCGTTTTGCAGAAACGCTCTTCAATCTCCGATAGAAAGCGCATACTGATGGTGTAGCTTTGGTGGAAGCGGTCAGGGTCCGCAGCTTGAAAAATTACTCCATGTTTTGATGCCAAGATCTCTTGCAAAGGTTTCCAGATTGCGTTCCCGAGAATGTCGACTGAACACTTGCTCTCTCCTTGACAAACAGATAGTGCAAGAGTGTCCGCAAACTTGCTGGTAATGAAGTCCACAATGGACTCGTAAATCTGTGGCAAACCTTCACAAGAACCACGAACTCTACCGTCCAGTTTACCCCGCGTCAAAATTTCTTCAGCAAAAGGCTGGACAAGCAGACGTCCGATCATTTCTTCGGGGATGTTACTCTTGTGGAGAAGTACATAAGCTCGCAGCAAGTAGCTTAGTGTCAGTGCACTGATGGCGTGGTCACGGTTGTAAAATGTATCGGGAAAGATTTCCGTCGCGAATTCCGTCTCCAGTCGATGGAGAAGCGTTTCTTCAATAGCTGCAAGACGTTTCTCCTCCCTCTACACACCACGTATTGTCAGCATCTCTTACATAGTTTAGCTACCGAGCTGAAGTATACCTGGATTGTGTTAAGGTGCATAGCGTTCATGAACTCGAGATCCAGCTGGACAAAAATCTGTGCTGCGCGCTCTAGCTTCGCACAGCTCTCGGCCGTACTCATAGTGTTGAGGCTCTTTTTGACTCGATCGAAATTCTCAAACTCGTCGTCGCTGTCCTCGTCCGAGTCGACTGTTCCATCTCTACCCGAGCTCTGCTCCTCGTCACTATCTGCCGGCGACTCGATCTCTAGTAACTCTTCCAGGAGCAACAACTTCTGTGAGATCTGAATACTGAGCTGCAGATTGCTCTCCTGTTGCTGTAGTTCTCTCGCCGTTTGTAGTTGCTTCTGCATCTTATTTTGCAGAGCGATCTAAGATACACGTCGTCAGTTTAAGAAGACCGGCAGTTTTTCTCGTTATCAAAAGATACGCACCATAGCACTCTGCACTTCGTCCACTCGCTTAAGCACCGCCAAGATAGGTGCACGTACGCTGGACACGGCCTCATCCACGCCCTTGAGTTTGGACGAAAGTTGAAGGAATTCCGCGTAGTCCTCGTTGATGATAGCAACAAGCTGGTTCTCTAGCGCCGTCTGGAACTGCTTTAGGTCTTGATGGATGGTCTCCATTGGGCTGTGTGTACGGCAGTCCTCCAGGAAAGTCCCCACCTCGAACGTCTCCCCCGAAAAATCCTCCTCATCGAAGCAGTACCTGCCCAGCACCATGCTGGTAATGACGACCACGTTGCAGAATCAAAACCTCTCCAAATCTTTAAAAATGGTAGTATTATTTTATTTTACCGTAGATGAAAAAAAAGAACCAAAAATCAGAAAAAAGTGACTGCATCTGATTTGGCATTTTATGACAAGCTAGAAGACAAAACTTTTGTAAAAGTCGATGACATTAAGTCCGTGGCAACGCTCTTTCAGCTCACTTTTGCTTTTGCGCTCGCTTTAGCCAGCGTTCTGCTACCGTCTTACCGCGCACTAGACGCCTAGGCGCTCAAAACAAGGGAATCTTATAAAAAACTAAAATTTCAAACCTCAAATTGAAAGCATGGATTAATAGAACGAACACATCTTGAGAGGTCGCACAAAAAATTAACGAGCCATGTGCTGCCTGCTTGCCATGTGATTCTTGCTCAAATGCTCAAGTTTAGCCATCCAACAAACACAATGGCTGGCTACAACACGAAGCGTGCTTCGAAGTGAGGTCCACGAGTAACATTTTCGGTTCTACAGCGTCAGTAGCATGCAGACAGAGAAGAAGAGGAACAGCTACAGCCTCCAGTTCAAATTGAACGTGGCCACGAGTACAAGCCCAATACAGTTGGCCATGGATATCATGCTCTCGCCAAAAAGCATCATGTGACGTCTTCAATGGCGAGGAAGTGGTGCAAGCTGCGTGAAACGCTGCAACACGCGTCGAAGGACCGTCGAATCTGTACACGCTCATTACGCAGAATTCCTGGTGCAGGTCGCAAACCACACTATCATAAGCTTGAGCAGGAACTCCACGCATGGGTATCCTTTCGAAACAAGAAGGGTTTGCGAGTAAAAGACAAATACATCCAGCTACAAGCCCTCAACATCAACCGTGCTTTGATAGAGCGTGGAAGTCCACCGAATGAGTTTCGTACTTCTTCGGGGTGGTTGAATCGTTTCAAGGAGCGCTACAATCTTGTTTCGCGACGGCAAACGACCACCAGAACACTTCCCGATGACGCTGCAGAGACGTGCATGAAGTTCATAAGGAAAGCACACCAACTGATTGAAGAGCACGACATCCTTCCGTGCAATGTGATCAATATGGACCAGGTTCCCAGATATTTTGAAACAGAGCCAAAGTCTACCATCACAACCCGTGGCTCACGAGAAGTGCTTTTGCGGAAGGGCGGCAGCAGTCACAAACGGTTCACTGCAACATTTTCAATCACTGGCGACGGACAGATTTTAGCGCCTCACTTACTCTTCTCCAAACTGAAAAGGAGGCCATCACGTCCACCTGGTGTCTTGGTAGACGTGAACCCCACTGGAATGTGGAATGATGACATCCTTCTCAGGCATGCGCAAGACGTGATATGCAGCAGGAAGGAGACTCAATTTTATCGGCAAACCGTTTTGTATATCATTGACTCGTATGCAGCCCACGTCAAGATGTTCAACGAGAAATTGCTCGAGCGGTACAGCGTGTTCGTGTTGTTAGTACCTCCAAATCTCACGAACCTTCTACAGCCACTTGATGTTGCAGTCAATCGAAGCTTTCAAGCTTATTACCGCACGATGTATGATGGCTACATTGGAGAGGCTCTACAAGACAAACAGTTTCAAACAAAAGCCGGCAACCCCAAAGTCCCACACTATGGCAGAGTTGCACAATGGGTGTTAGATTGGATTGATATTCAAACGCCGGAGGATATTAAGAAGGCATTTCAGCTTTGCAGGCTTGTAGATAAGTCGGCGTTTAGTTTGGCCAACCTGTATCCTCCACTTCGGGAGTTGTTGAGCCCATCCATGAACATGTACGACTGGCACCAACAATATCAGCATATTGTCGACGCGACGGATGAACGCGAGGAACTTTGTATCTCAACACCAGGCTGGTATATCCCAGAAGACATACGGACGAGTCTGTTTTGCTGTCTTCGTCGTAGTCTCGGTGCTTCAGACTCTGACTACGTTGTATCTCTGACGGAGTATATGCAAAACCTAAATGACCTGACCGGACTGTTCGACGACGAGTACATTGCGTCGTTAAGAAGTGGTGAATTTGCGCCTGGAAAGCTCGAGCTATTTGCTGCATCTCGCATGCACGATTGCGAATTTGAAGTCGTCACTCTTAACAACGAATGCAGAGTTATCTCGAAGTACACGTACACTGTAGAGTGCGCCGCCCGAGACATTTGCATAGCACGAATTGGGCCACTTTTTACCTTGAAGCTCGACGGACTCCATCTATAGATCGCCTGCTCATGTCGCTCTTCTGACTTTTAGTTTATCTCTGCATTTGAGCGCCTAGGCTGTATACATGAATAAAACGCCCACGGGCTCTCTGTTTTAATTGAACGCTTAGGCGTCTAGTGCGCGGTAAGACGGTAGTGCCCGTCTTGCGGGAAAAGTCAATGTGGAATAGAAGTTGGAGAGTCTTTTGGTGCGCATTTTTCTCCGGATCCGGCCATTTGGTAGACAATAGGAGGCAGATGCGATCCAACAAATTGAGACGGACAAGAGGGGTCCAAATCAGAGGAGCTTCGGATTGATATTCGCTCTGCGGTTAATATTCAGTCAAACGAAAAACACATTTTAACTAAAATTCGTAACTCCATTTATTTTGGTAACACAACGGCCAAGTTTAATGTTTAGCAGCGCGACTACATGTAGAGATTAGTTTTTAATGTGGATTTTTAAGTTTTTGTTAATTTAACTAGCAAGATATAATACTGGGAGTCCCAGTCCCAGTCTGGGACTAATACTAGCAGAGCAATTTGAAGAGTTTATTGATATCGAATGCGCTTCTACTAAAAACCAGCTTTCACAAAAATAATTCTTTCGTTTCGCGCGGGGCTGGATCCGTCGTGAATCGCGCTGTCAAGTCCGCGTCGACTGCCCAAGTCAAAAGCGAAACCCACTGGAAATTTGACGGTTTACCCTCTTCGGTGTAGCGGGGCCCAGTATGCCAACAGCGACCCACTACTCAGGGCTCATAAGATTTTCGACAGAGGGTCGTAGAACATGACGGCGACAAACAAGGCATTCGCATACGTGTTCAACACAATAGCTGAAGACCGAAAGGTAGCTCGAGCACTCAGCGGGTGGAACTTCAGCAAAGCGCCGCCAGTTCCCACACTCTCCTGAGCTGACTTCGCGATACGAGTGCAAGCACTGGAATTGGGAAATCTGTTATTTCAGTCTTGCGTCAGCACTCAAGATGCCGAGAAGAAACTTGATGGGCGAGTGGCTGAAGTCTTGGCTGCGTCGTTGATTCAACATTTCTCGGAAGTACTCGGGCGCCACCCGATGTGCGCGTACGCCACTAGAATGCAAAAATGCCCAATTTCGCTTGGGCTGTCGAAAATTCAAATGCTAGCGTGGAGCTCGAAGTGGCAAGGCAACGTCTCACGGGAGGACATCGAGGAGGCGAAGGGAACAAAAAAAAGCTACCTAGTGAGGAGAAACTTATCGATTATAATCTCACTAACCTGATAGTGGTAGCCTTCTGAGCTGCATTATTGGCGAGATGATTGCGGTGAACCGAGCATTGACCGACCGAGTGAGCGTGCTCGAGCGTGGAGGTGGTGTCAGTCAGGCTAGCGCGCCCTCAAGCTCGCCGTCCAATGCAACACACACGGGTGTAGCACGCTTGGAGAGGCTTGTCAAGCTCAAGAAGTGTGGGAGCAAGGCGCTTTCCAAAGGCCTTGCAGTAATTTGATTTGAGTGGTAGGCGAAGCCCCCATACTCTGGAAAGTGTGGGGAGGTCGCCAAAAGAATTTTGCCGACAAGCAAACAGTTAACTACATTTACCTGTTCTTGTCTTGTGATTTTCATCTTAACATGGTTACAGCGACATACTGAAATCAGAAGCTTCGGGTTTGACAGGAAACAGAAAAAAAACATGCTTAAGGTTTTTCAGCAGCAAGGTACTAAGTGCAAGAGTGGATCTTTCGTCTTCATGGAATTGCGAAAGTACTACAACGAAGGCACGTTGAATAAGCTGAAAGAAAATCGTATTGGGCTCGTGTTGTGACGGAAGGGATCAGTAAGCATGGCTCATCATGTTATCCTCATGTACCTTGCGTTTCTTTTGAGGAGACTCGGCCAAACCATCAACGTCTTCGCAATATGCGAGAGCGTCAGCTAGTGGAATGTTGACAGATGCTGTCACACTCTCTTCGCTTCCTGCCGCAAGATAGAGGTGGTCGAGTAGTTGGGCGCGCGGGAAATCTAGCATTACCAGTGCCATTGCGATGGCGTGGAGAGGACACGTAATGAAGCTTTCCTTGTCGGGGAAAAGCGAAGGCCTTGTTTTTCTGCTGTTGTCACCCGGATAAACCGAACGCCCCCCCCATCGATTCTAACAGAAAGATTGCCCCTGACCACGTCCCAAGGTCGGAGGGACGGCCAAAAGCATGCCACATCAGCCAAAAAACGGCCGCGTCTTGGTAGTCCTTGAGACTAGACGCGTGATAGTAGCGTCCTTCCATCAGAATAAGCAGATCTTCCTTCGTACACGGTGGCGCCTTCTTTAGCATTCCACCTTCGACCCGCCTCAGGCAGTGGCGATCGAGCGTCTGGCCCATCTTGAGGAGCTCCTGCTCGATGTTTGTGCGGTGCTTTGGATAGGTATCGAGTAACCAGCTTCACATGATGATAATACCTCATGACCGAGCTCCAAGCCAGTGGTTTGCCTCCTCGTTCCTCTACAAAGGCCATATGAGCTCCAAAGCAATTCAATAAAGCTTCACAACAACACCTTACTTTCAATCCCAAAGAGAGATGCTACTGCAAGGTCCATGGTAACCCCCTCCGCTGCAATGAACAGGCCGAATGCCTTTATAGCTGTTTGGCGAGTGCGCTGAGAGTTGGCAGGTGCAAGGTCTTGAAGGTTCATACTGGTTTCTAGTGTTTTGTCAGTAAGCGTGCAAAATTTGCACACGTACGCATTTAGTATGCGAATGACGTGAGCTGGACCAGGGGCTCGTATTGACTGGCATTGGCCAAAATGCGAA